CCTCTGGGTCATGTGACGTGTCTGAAGGGCCTGAGGCCAGGGAGCATGCAACAGTGGGAACTGTACTTGAACAGATACCAGGCGTAGCAATGACACAGCAGGACTTGGACATCAGTCGTGTGACAACTCTTAAGTTGACACGAAAGTCTAGACCAAGTAAGAGGCAGATGAAGGCTGAAGCTCCTGCAGTCCGCAGATTGTTGAGGTCATGGGATAACCTTCACGTGAAAGACGGTGCACTGTTCTACGTCCATATCACAGAGGATAGAGACAACTATCTGCCCATCCCCTCGAAGTCACTGCGACCCCAGGTCCTGAAACATCTCCATGACAAGATGGGACATCTTGGATTCGAGAAGACAGTCCAGCTAGTACGAGACCGTTACTTCTGGCCCGGCTTATATTCTGAAACGAAGGCATATGTCGGGAAGTGCAAGCGATGTGCCCTAAGGAAACTACCGGACACTCGGCGACAAGCACCCCTTCAGAGCATCCAGACAACCCGACCATTAGAGTTGGTCTGTATAGACTTCTTGTCACTGGAGAGGTCGAAAGGTGGTTTCGAACACATCCTGGTAGTGACAGACCACTACACCCGGTATGCACAGGCGTACGCGACGAGAGATGAGACTGCAAATACAGTGGCACGAGTCTTATGGGAGAAGTATATCAAGAACTACGGCATCCCTAAACGTATTCACTCTGATCAGGGGAGATGTTTCGAATCAGCTATAGTGAAGGAGCTGTGTAATCTCCTCGGTACTGTGAAAAGTAAAACGTCTCCCTACCACCCCCAAGGCAACGGGATGACGGAACGTTTCAACCGGACGCTATTGTCTATGATGGGAACCCTTGAACCTGACCAGAAGCCTAACTGGGCGATGCACTTGCAGTCGATGACTTATGCCTACAATAGTACGAGACATGAGACAACAGGCTATAGTCCATTCTATCTGATGTTCTTGAGGGAACCTAGGCTACCCGTGGACCTTGTAACTCCAGGGGAGCCAGAGTCAGAGGAGAGCCGTCCCCAGTCCCTGTACGTCCAGCAGATGCAGAAACACCTCCGGAATGCCAGCGAAAAGGTGAAGCTCGCAACCGAGAAGGCACAGCACAAGCAAAAGTTGAACTATGACAAAAAGATTCGTGGAACCGAGAGAGAACTTCAGCCAGGAGATCGAGTCCTTGTCGCCAACAAAACACCAAGAGGCAGAGGTAAGCTGAGAGACAAATGGGAGGAAATACCTTACATCGTCCTTAGGCAACTGGGAGACTTGCCAGTGTATACCATTCAGCAACGTGGATCTACGAAGACGAGAAATCTACATCGAAACCTACTGGCCATTTGTCCTTTCGAGGTAGAGGATGAAACAGATGAGGGTCTACTTCCACCCCTTCCGCAGTCCCAAGATGTGGACGGACCTCAGGTTTATCTACTTCAACCTCCTCCACAGTTCCAGGATGAAGATTATCCTCCGCATCTCCATCTACCCCCACCCCTACATCAGTTGCAGGATGAAGAACCAGAGTCATCCTATGGTAGCAGTACAGCTGATGAGTCTGAAGTGTCCACTGATAGCTCCGCTAGTTCTGACAGTGTATTGGAGGTGAGGACCAGCCGACGACCAAAGAGAAGCATCCGTCCGCCTCGCAGGTTTGGAGACTGGCAGTGAATAGTTAATGAATTATGCCCATAGTGGTCACACAATTTTCGAGGACTCTAGTAATAAGTCTTGACACTCTCCTTGCGCCATTGCTAAGGATAGCAATGTATTTTAGTTGGCGAGTGTGTGGCAGGGCCACATAGTTAACTTGCATTAGCTTTTGGTTTTCAACATAGGAGTCCCTCCCCCTGACTTGCATGGCTTAGTTTGTGTTGTAGCCCTCTTAAGTTAATTAAGTAGAAGTTTATGACACAGTAAAATAATAGCAGTGCTGTAGGAGGATAGTAGTGTACGCCCCCTGGATAGAGTAAACATTCCTGTCCAGAACAGAGACCCCCTTATCTGTGAGACCATGTGGTCCATGCCTCATTTTGCAGACTGGTAGAAGGCAGGGCAGCATCATTTAGTTTTGCTCTGCAGATTCCCTTGAAAATCTATGGCTTTTCTACCCTGAAAGTTTGGTCTGCTGCTGGATTCGGTAAGCTCAAGTTTTTGTTGTTTTGTTAACTAAGAAGTGAAAGTACATTTAATAGATAAATATTTAGTGATCCAATTGGTACTTTTGTTCTTGTGGCCTGAGATTGAAATTTCCTCGTTCTTTTCTTGTTATACGGAGTGTGAAGTTCAAGTACACTTGGAGTTTAAGATTGATTCACAAGAGAGTTACTTTTGCGCGATGTATTTTTGTGCATTATACTACATGTATGTCGTATCCGATGGTTAGTCCCATGGTTTACAACTTTACTTTTTCGTTGTATGAGAACTTGAGAAGAAAACAAGTGATCTTTTAAGTTTTGCACAGGTGTATTTCATCTTTTACATAGCTGGATTTTTTATTTTAACCAATAGTGTTAGAATTTAGATAGTTGGAAGTAAATCCTTCACTTGTCATTTATTCTGTATAATGAGTCCCTACTTGTGCACATGTATGATGCATTTCTTTACTTTACTGAAGGGACATTGCCCAGCCACAGTGTCTTATTTTTATCAGGTTGACCACCAGTTAAGATAATAGGGCCTTAGACTTTGCCTAGTCCACTGAGCAGTTGGTTGATGAAATGCTTTGTATGTTTTGTGGTAATAATTAAGGCATAGTGGTTCCCCAGTGTACGTATGCAAGAAGTGCTAAGTGACTTGTAAACTCTCTAGCTGACAGCCTGGGTGGCTGGATTTGGCCACAGAGCCTAGTAGATGACCTTGGAGATAAACACATGGACAAGGCAAGACTCATTAGTATGCACAAGAAAGTTAGTGTTGTTACCTGGAGCACACATAACTATGCTTGTGGCAACTCAGCACTGTTGATTGTTTATGCAGTGGCCAGAAGTTCTTAATCACATTGATAAGGATGAGTGTGTGGTATTGCCAGAATAGAGCACCTGTTTTAGGTTGGCCTAGTTATTATTAGGATTTATAATGTACTCATTTAGTCCTATACTTACTTTGCGTTTTTTATTATTTCTACAGGTTGTTTAAGCTGTTGTTTTCGATTTATGACCTTCTTTTGATGCTGTATTGGTTTTAATTTTAGTTGGTTTTAAATCTTAGGTTTTTATTGTTGGTTTTAATTTTAAATCTTCGTTCTAGGTTTTAGTTGTTGGTTTTTTTTTTTTTTTTATCTGGTTAATGGTTTTTGGTTGGTTTATGGCTTGAAGTGATTGAGTTGTTTTTTTTGTCTATTGGTTCGTGTCATTTTAGAATTTTTTTTGTCTATTTTTGCTTCATTTACTTAGTTTCAGTTGTGATCAATATACTGAGGTTTTTTGGTTCATAGCAGTTTTTTATCTTTAGGGAAAGTCAAAGGTCATTTACATTTGTTTGGTTAGGAGAACATCAAGGTTGGTCGAGTGTCAGGTACAAAATCAGTTGTTCTTCGAGTCTCATAATTTTATTTTTGGTTTAGTTTTTTTTTTAATTGTCGTTCAGGAGAAATAAATGCGTTCCAGTGATAGCTCTTGAATCTCTGTCTCTTTGCCAACTTAATTTTCCTCGCGATTTTCTAGAGATCCTAGGTCCAATTCCTTTGTTCCATTTTTCTGGGTTACACAGGCAATTTTGGACCGATTTACTGGTCTGCACCCTATAGAGAAGCGAGGTTTTGAAAAATTTCCCCAAACCACTTGTAAGGCACGAGGAAGGATGGATGACTCATATTTCATCAAAAAATAGCAAGAAAAAAAATCTCTGACTGCGATTTCTGGCCTGAAAACAAGCCCTCTGTTTGCGGCTACCTTACTGTAGGGCGCCCCCAACGGGCTTAAATTGAGTTTTTGCTCTTTCCGACCCCAAATTACCCCCCCCCCCCCTTGTTCGCTTGAAATTGCTGTGATCGGACGACGGTCCATCGGCCCTATTCAGATTTTGGGCGCATTTGTTGCAGAACCGCCATTGGTGACCCCTTTTGAAACGCTGCCCCCCTCCCCCCAAGGTTCCGCCCCCCTGAAAAAAAAACACTCCGCAAACATTTGACAACAAACGATGGAAGGCGCCATTTTGAAACTACAGGTAGCACACCAGTAAATAAACTTCCATAGACCCCAATGGTAAATGCTCCCACTTCAAAAATTCAGGAAAAATACTCACAACTCTCCAAGGTGTTCGAGACGCACATCAAATTAAAGCTTATTTCATCATCTTTCATTTTCTTTTCAATTTTCGGCGGGTCAACTGATGACTTTTAGGGGAAATTTGCATTTGAAGATGATCACCCCTGAAAATAGTCCTGAAGCCCATCGCCATTTTGAAAAACGATGCCTACACTCCATTGCAAAATAGAGCGCTTTTAGGGTCCAAATTACATCAAAATTACACAGAACTGCAAGCTCCCAGTCCTGTGCACGGCTTCCACCCATATTTTTTACAAACCCTCAAGTTCATGGCCCAAAGCATGCCCAAATACCGAAGATTTTGAGGGCATGCAAATCGTGATTTGGCCGGCGCAGGCAATTTCGGACCGATTTACTGGTCTGCACCCTGAAAAATCTGTCTTGGTCTAGCTCTTCTCTCTAGACCATTCAGGATTTTGAAGGTCTCAATAAGATCACCTCTTGTTCTATGGGTCATTCCACCGGGTTGGGGAACAAAGTGTGACAATTATGACCATATTAAGAAAAGCATGAATACCCTGCTAGCAGGTGCTCTACATAATATTTGTTGTTGGGTGTTTCACTACTGTAGCAAGTTTGAAATCATTTCAATGTATTTTGCCAAAAATATGAGCAAACAAGTCAGGTGTGTTTATGTGGCAGGTGTAGAAAGACCCTGTGTTGATGTTAGAGTTAATTGCCCTTCCACTGTTTACATTTCCCCTTTAAGCTCTTCCAGCACCCCAATTTCTTAGGAATCCTGTGTAATAAACAATGAACCCTCTTACATAATCCTTGGTAGTGTGGTTGGTCACCCCTATAATGTACATGTACTTCAGTTAGCAGACTGGCAGCGCAAGGGGAACACCCACACTTGTTCTCCCTTCCCAAGCTTTGATTTTTACTCTATAAGTTTTGCCTGCTTCAAGACCTTACTGCTATATGGACTCGGTAAGCTTAAACTTTGTTTTATTATTTAGTTGTTTCATTAGTTGATTAGTTTGACAATCATATTATTCCTTTATTTCTTTGGAATTTCATTTCTAAAGTTGTATTTTAAAGATAGGACTTGGAAGTATCTTTTGTTATAAACTTAGTTTGGATTCAATGTTTAAGACTTTGTGTTTCTTAAATTTGATTGAAGAAGTGTATTTTAATCGATTGTATTTTTTTGTTGTTTTATTTAACAGGTTTGAAAGCCATTTTGATTTTAATCTGTAACTTTCTTTGGCACTGTGTTTTTAATTGTTTCAATTCTGGGTTTCGTTTAATAGTTTTACTGTGTGTTGGTCTTGGTTAAGGTTACACTGGTTTGGCTTTTGGTCATTGCTTTAGTATCAATAAAGTTATTTTTCTTATTTTTGTTTATTGAGGAAACCTACATTTTGAGTCACTGTCCCACTTCTTGCATTTCCTCGCGTCTTTACCCTATTCGATCATTAGATTAATTGAGTTTTCTTAAGTGAGTTCCCCCAGCGTTTAGTTTTATTTAGTTTAGTCGAGCGGTCCATTTTTCCCGATTACATTTACAAACACAAATGCCCCGCAACCGTGACTGTTTCCATGACATAACACCACTCTAACATCAACTTGCATGTACCTTGGTCAAATGGAACGTTCATTGACAGCATTAGTGTCTTCTGTAGGTTTTATATGAATTAATCCCTAATCCCTATGATCTCAGATTAAATACAAGATTTCTATTGTTTTAGCCACTGTGACCTTGACCCTTGACCTTTCGACCCCCAATGCGATAGGCTCCTTAGGATTGCCAAGGACAATCCACAAACCAAATTTGAAGTTCATATGTAAAGTATTTCTCAAGTTATCGTGTGGACAAAATTTCTTTTGTTTTAGTCACTGTGACCTTGACCCTTTACCTTTTGGTCCCAAATGCTATAGGCTTCTTAGGATTACCAAGAACAATACACAAACCAAATTTGAAGTTCATATGTAAAGTATTTCTCAAGTTATCGTGCGGACAAAATTTCTTTTGTTTTAGTCACTGTGACCTTGACCCTTGACCTTTTGGCCCCAAATGCAAAAGGCTTCTTAGAATTGCCAAGGACAATCCACAAACCAAATTTGAAGTTCATATGTAAAGTATTTCTCAAGTTATCGTGCTGACAAAATTTCTATTGTTTCAGCCACTGTGACCTTGACCCTTGACCTTTCGGCCCCAAATGCAAAAGGCTTCTTAGGATTACCAAGGACAATCCACAAACCAAATATGAAGTTCATATGTTAAGTATTTCTCAAGTTATCGCGCTGACAAAATTTCTATTGTTTCAGCCACTGTGACCTTGACCCTTGACCTTTCGGCCCCAAATGCAAAAGGCTTCTTAGGATTACCAAGGACAATCCACAAACCAAATTTGAAGTTAATATGTTAAGTATTTCTCAAGTTATCGCGCTGACAAAATTTCTATTGTTTCAGCCACTGTGACCTTGACCCTTGACCTTTCGGCCCCAAATGCAAAAGGCTTCTTAGGATTACCAAGGACAATCCACAAACCAAATTTGAAGTTCATATGTTAAGTATTTCTCAAGTTATCGCGCTGACAAGATTTGTCCGGACACACACACCCACCCACCCACCCACGGAAGGACAAGGCGGAAACAGTATATGCCCCTTCGGCTTCGCCGCGGGGCATAAAAATGTCATTTTGGATGTAACATTGACACGTACCGTACGTGTCAGTGTTACATCCAAATATGTATAATGGTAATCCTAAGAAGCCTATTGCATTTGGGGCCAAAAGGTCAAGGGTCAAGGTCACAGTGGCTGAAACAATAGAAATTTTGTCAGTGCGATAACTTGAGATATACTTTACATATGAACTTCAAATTCGGTTTGTGGATTGTCCTTTTCAATCCTAAGAGGCCTTTTACATTTGGGGCCAAAAGGTCAAGGGTCAAGGTCACGGTGGCTAAAACATAGAAATCTTGTATTTAATCTGAGATCATAGGGATTAGGGATTAATTCATATAAAACCTACAGAAGACACTAATGCTGTCAATGAACGTTCCATTTGACCAAGGTACATGTAAGTTGATGTTAGAGTGGTGTTATGTCATGGAAACAGTCACGGTTGCGGGGCATTTGTGTTTGTAAACACACCTGACTTGTTTTTTTTTTTTATTTCTGCGAAACATTACCCAAATTTGCTTTGCGTACTTCTTTCTATAGATGCAACACAATAAGAAAGCTTTTGTTATGGTAGTCAGACATCAAATCGTCACCGACACCACGAACCGACACCCGGTGGTCAGCGTTGCAGAAATACAAATCGGAGAAAAACACTTATAAAGGTTTGACACAAATTTACTCAGTAAAATAATCCATCTGTCTTAGAGGTTTTAGTATCACTTAACGTGATCATGCTTTAACTACTCAATTATAAAAGTTATATTTTGAAAATAAGCTTAGTTAGTTAGCAAGTAAATGATTAAGACGGGTGTCAGTTCATGAAAACAAAAATGTATGTGTTTTCAGAGAGTGCACGCATGCAATAGCATAGTGAGTGTCAGTTCGTGAAAACAAAAATTGACGTGTTTTGGGAAAGTGCGCGCACACACTGCTATTGCATGTGCGCACTCTCCGAAAACACGTAAATTTTTGTTTTCACGAACTGACACCCTGTGCAGCGTCACTTCGTGGTAACAAAAAACACCAGAATTGACCAATTTCTTGAAAATTCATTAGTAAAATTTGGTTATTTAAGATTATTTCAGCAATTTAAACTTCGTCATGTTAAACTTCATGATACAAACTGCTAATATCGGCAAAAAAAGAAAATTTGAATTTTAATTTTTTTTGTACACATGTGATGCAGAGGGTGTCAGTGACGAAATGGAGCAGAAATAAAAGCTTGATTGTGTGGATGTAACATTTAAATTTACACGGTGTAAAACTCAAATGTCACACTTCCATTGAGTGATTTTTACACCATTACATCCACACTTGACATGCTTGAGGTATTGTTTCTGCTATATTTGAACCCTGACTATACCAAAACAAAAGTTTTTCTTGGTGCTTAGGTGTCCAGTTGTAAATATGCAATGTCAGTTTGGGTAACATTTTACATACGTGTAAAATATGGCAAAAAATTTTTTTTTTTGGATGTAACATTGACACGGTGTCAATGTTACATCCGAATTAATATATTTTTGCTCATATTTTTGTCGAAGTACTTTCACATGATTTCAAACTTTCTCAAATATTGAAACACCCTAAGTCAAATGTTATGTTGAGCTATTGTTTTGAATGCATTGATACTTTTAATAATATAACCAAATATATGGATGTACTAACATGCACTGCTTCCAAACCCGGTGGAATGACCCATATATGCTGTTCTAAACTTTAATTTACAGGCCTCTCTGGATGGGTGAGGTGTTTGATGCCTGGAACTAGTTTTGTAGCTCGATCTCCATTGAACTTTTTTAAGCGTTGCTATGTCTTTCTTTAGTCCTGGGGCCGTATTCACAGAACTCAAACTAAGAGAATACTTGAGTCGGTCTTAAATCTAAGCACCCTGCTAACTTGAGTGGGGCGCTTAATTTGGTATTCACGGAAGATCTAAGCACCCCACTTATCTTAATTAGTGCTCAACTTAAGTGCTTAAAGCAATCACTCATGCGCAACACATTTACGTCCTAAACGTTCCTACACAGTGGTATTTCAATCAATTTGTGCGTGCTTCCTTAACATAATCATGCGCGTGTGTATTCAGCGACGCTGTTTCCAAGCCCAAGTTAGCACGCGGAAAATTACTGCATCACCAACGCGTTCAACGAGTTCGTCATGCACATTGTATGCATGCACTCAATGCATGCATTTTTTCCCCCAACTTTTAGTGTTTCAACAAAAATTACAATGAAATGTTAGCTTTATTTACTATCGAGTGTGATACAAATTGTGATAGTGATTTATCAGCATTGTCTCATACATGCTGAAGGTAAGATAATTATTCTGAATTTAATAGTCAGCAGTCACTGTGGTATCACTGCATGCCATTGGTTACATGTCATCAATCGCAACTGCACCGCCCGCCTAAAACTCAACAAATAGGTATGCAACTGGGAATTTAGAAAAACCGAGGAAATTCCAAACCACACAAGACTTTGTACAGTGTTTTTCAGTTTGTAATGGCATTCATGAGAAGTAAAAAACGAGGAAATCAGCGGATCTGAGGAAAAGTTGCATGCCTGAACAAATCGATCGAAAATATCCGGTAGAATGTCTACTACTAGTTGTCACACATTAACTTAATTTGTTTTCCTTTTACAATAATTCGATATTGACGAGATTTCCCTTAGCCCGTAGAAAGTCCAATTTTGTGCCCAAAACATACAAATTAACAGAGAGAAATAAAGCCGCCATGAAACACTAGTGCCCCACTTAACTTGACTCAAGACAGGTCCGACCACACTTAGATTTAAGTAATGAAAATAAGCAGGGCGCTTAGTGCAAACGTTCCGGGAATACGTACTGCTTAAATTGTAAGACTAGTCTAAGTTACATTTAAGTGGGGTGCTTACGTTTTTATGACTTAAGTCGTTTTGTGAATATACGTATACGGCCCCAGACTTGGACACAATATTCTAGGTGTGCGGTGTGGTCTTAATTACGACGAGTAGAACAAAATTGTCTTGGTTAATGTACTTGAAAGAACGCTTGATAATTGTTCTTTGAAAGCTGTTCATATAATTGCCTTTTGTGCTGCTTTTGTACATTGATTTGCAGTCGTTGATAGTGCGGCATACTCTCAAATGCTTCTCTTGATCAATGACCTCTAATTTGGTTCCATCCATATGTAGTAGTCCACCATAGGGTTATTGTTACCAAAATGTACTGTTTTGCATTTGCCTGCGTTGAACTTCAGTAGCCAGATGACCATTTTTTCAACTCTTTAATATCCTTCTCATCTGAAGTTGTACGTGTCTTCTGGTGAGTCAATAACTGCAGTAAATATTTTGGTATCATCGGTGAACATCTGAGTTTGACTTGACATGGGTTGGTACATGTAGGTCGTTTATGTTGAGGATGAATAGTAACAGTCCGAGCACTGAGCCCTGTGGGACACCACTTTGTACATCTGCTTGAGATGAGGCAGCATTTCTGTTACTGTTTGCATTCTCCCCATTAGGAAGTCCTGTATCCAATCTAGTACTCTGCCTTATTTACACCCGTACGGTACGCTCTTAACTTGTTCATCAGCCTCATCAAATGCCCTAGCATATTCAAGAAATATTATATGTGGGTTTGTAAGTAGAGATAATAATGGTTTATCAGAATTTATCAACTTTACAGATATTCTTCAATGTTAATTTGGAATGTTCCAACATTTATTCAAGTGCACCACATTAACTTTTAAGGAACACTCAGCTGATTTTGTGCCCAATTTCCAGACGCCACCGTTTTTGAATTTAGGATTAAATTTCATGACACCGAAATTGTTAATAGAGGTTAAATTAATAGCAAGCATTAATAAGGTAAAAGTACCATTATTTCACTGAATGAATTTGAAGTTTGTCAACAAAGAAGTTTGGAAAGGCTAAGCCTACATGAGGAGAGTCAGGGTAAATGTCGAGGTGCGCCACATTAGGGAACAGTATGTTTGTTTATTGGCAGTGGATATTTAGCCGGAGACGGCAAACCTTTAGTAAATGTTAGCTTGCCGGATATGCACAGCACTGAACATGCGCAGTTACTGGTTTTTTTTTTACTCCGACATTTTCCGTCGACAAATTTTAGTCTGGCTCCATGCCAACGTTATCGCAATAGCTACGTATTCACAAGATGGGAATCAGACCATTTTACAATTTTGGACTTTATTTCCCTCTAAAAAAAATCCTCCAGAGCCACAAATCTGAAAAAGAATACTCTGCAATAGCCTTGGTCAAGGCGCTAGTTTTTTTTTATCCGGCCGTAGTGCGGTAATGCATGCAGTACAGTGCATTCAAAATACAGCGCGAACAGCGACCTCACGCGGCCACTATTTTTATGCAAATCAGTTGGACCCAATATAGCGCCTTGGTTCAATCGTCCATGTGAGGTTTTGGGGGTGGTGCTCATTATGTTAATAGCCTAAGCTGACCTTAAATGTCGTATTCTTATTGGTCGATCGTTGTGGGTAAACTTGCTAAACGTGGCACCGTACATAATTCCATACATGTACACGTACACGTATGTGTCTCTGCACACGGCACCAATGCACAAAAACTGTGGTTCCTGTCACGTCCGCAAAAGGCGAATAGCTAGCTGCAAACAATTTGATGACGTCCGGATTTACCTAGGTGTGATTGGACACTCCACATATTAGCCCCGCCTACACTTATCTGTATTCCCATACGAGGTCGTGCGCTAGAAATCCAGCGCAAAATAAAGAAAAACATAAGCTTTTGCCGACGATTGAACCAATGCGGGATATTGGGTCCAACTAATTTGCATAGAAATGGTGGCCGCATGAGGTTGCTGTTCGCGCTGTATTTTAATGCACTGCATAATGCATGGCCCTAGCGAGGATATCGTTTACGCGCCACAGCTGAGATGAATAACATTTAGCGCCTTGACCAAGGCTAACTCTGCAATAAAATTTTTGAGACATGTGAAAATAATAAAAGAAGAATATTCTTCTTTTTTGGGGATGGGGAAAAAAAACTTAAGAAATGTCGCCAGCGCAACGGGGATCGGGATCAAACCCGGGTCTTCCCGCTCATGAGATTCGTTGCTTATCCACTATAGACCACAGTTAATTGCTACACGATCGTCGGTGATAATTTAATATATCTTATAATTCAACCGTATCTTAGAGAGTACAGCGCCCTCTGTTGACAGGGATTGCCACCGGCAAACCTTTAATAAACGTTATTAGCTTGCCGGGATTACCGCCGGCAAAATATCCACTGTCTTTTTTATTTAATAAATCTAATTTTCGTGAAATTTCATGTTGAAATTTTGATACACAAACATGTGCAAACATGAAAATTTCACGAAAAATAGACATCTGAAAAAGGCAGCACTTTTTGATTAGAGGGTGAGTAATGATATGCTTTGTGAAAATCAAAATTTGACAAAGTTCGACATGTTTTTGTACGTGGTGGAAGTGTGGCATTTATTTACGGAGGTGGTCCAGTAAATTGGCCACATTTATTTTTATGGGGCTACAAAACAATATGCTTCAAAAGAATGATCCAAACATGCAGGTGAGTAAACAATTACAAAGCAAAATTTAAAGCAGTGAAAATTACACATATTTTGAGTCATTCCTTTAACAATAACAGTTTAAGATCATTTTTACAGAAACAATGTCTGAATGTTAATGACATGAATGATCAGGTAGTGATTAGCGGATTAATCAGCATGATATGACTGGTTAAAGATGACAGGCACCCCTCCATTTCCGCGCCATTTCCCAGCAAAGAAACGATACCGGTTCAGTGGTTTACCTTCTTGATAAGCTTTCAGTTTCACTTGAACATCTTGTCACTCAAGCTGTCAGCCTTGTCTCGCATGCTCTGCGCGCACTTCCGAGTGTCAGATGAGTGAACCTTCCCGAATGCATGACGCGCGCGCGGGGGGGGGTTTCCGAAGTGTATTGCGTGCGGAAATTGGGGGGATTCCCCGATTACCAAAAGATTTCCCGAAACTTCGGCCTCGTTTCCAGTTCGCCTTACAGGATTTTTTCCCCTGGCTCCCACTCCCAATTCAAGGAGGGTCTTCAATGTGTTTTTATTAGATGCTCTATTGTTGTTTTTACCTTCCCCGAGATTCTAAGCACGGTCCAGGAATTTTCGCGGGGGGGGGGGGGGGGGGGTCATCAGCAAAAAAATTCTGAAAATGCAGACATTATACCAGTATAACTTGGGGGAGCTGGGGTTTTGATCCCCACCTCCTGGATCCATGCCGGGGGGGGGGGGGGGGGGGAACGAGCCTCCAAGCGGCAGGGGATTGATTTTGACATGCGTTTTTGCATATTCCCCATGGAAAATCACACAAAATGTGCGCAAATAGCATACATATATGTATATTATCTGTGCACACGTACATCTTTGAACACAGACACCCCCCCCAAAAAAAATATATATATATATAAAAATAGGGTTTACTGAAAAGATATTTCAATGTACAGGTTTGTCATGCTTTGCCTTGTCTCCCTTGTAAACATTCACAAAAATAATGTATATCAAACATTTGGTCATCCTGGAAAAAGGGGGGGTACCAAAAGCCCAGGAAAATATGTTAAAAGTCCAAGTTGCCTCTCAGTGCAACCAGTATTATTAATTATTGTAAGGTAAATGACTATTATTCTACAAACATTATGTACACATATTCAGTATAAACTTTGGTCATTCATGATGTTTATTATACCTGAGACAAAGCATTCAATGCATATCATTTTTTTGTGTCATGGAGTTGTACAAAATCTGTGTAAAATTAAGTAGAGAATTATAACAATGTGCTATTATTTCAACTCGCTATTTTAATCAAGCAAGTACTATTTTGAGCAGATAGATCTGCTCACTAGATGTGAACAAAATATTGTTAATACATACCAAAATCTTTTTTTTTCAAGAACAGATTAACGTTTAAACTTGTACGAACTTGTTTGATATTAGATAAAACTCATTTTTTTCAAATTCATCCCATAAACTATGTTCCTGGGTGCTCCTTTACCCATTTAAAAAAATCTCTTTCATCAAAAAAAATTGCAGTAATTTACAAAAAATAAGTTACTTATTGCAAATAAGCACAACAGGCTATGGTGATCTCTTATTTATTTAAGTGACAATTAAAAAGTAAAAGGTCCCCAATATCATACAAAGGCTTTGGGTCCGACAGCCTTGGCTTAGAAGCTATTTTGAAATTCCTGTAGGCCTTTTGATGGCAACACAAGATATGGTAAAAGCATGTTACAACCCAACTATACATGTACATACCATCGGTCCTAAGCAGGCCATCAGCCTGAGGGTTTGGTCGGTATCAAACGAGGGGAATAGTGCTTATTGTGATTTTTGGCAAGGTATGCACCCCTGTAGTTGGAAAATATGTGATAGCATGCAGCGGGGCAGCTTTTTTGGGTGCTATCACTTTTTTTTTTAAATGGCGACCAAAACATGCTTGTTACCACATATAATTAATCTGGTAACAAGCATATAAGCGGCCATTTTGAAGGGAGAAAGAATTAATAGTGATAACACCCAAAAAAACTGCCACCATTCAACAGCTATCATACATTTTCCAAATCTAGATGTGCATACCTTGCCAAAATCGCTATGAGCGTTGCTCCTTTCGATCATTTGATACAGGTGGCCTAATTTTTGGACCGAAACTGATAGGCTAAATCTGTAGTTAGACATTCGTAAGAATTATGCTGTATTAAGAACATGAATTTCACATCACTTGCATTTGATTAATTCTGCCGTAAAAACTATGCTGAGTCCAGAACAACTATAGTTGAGCTGGCGTCGTATAAAAATCGGACTCCTTTTTTGGTTATATCATCTCGCGTGACCAGTTCCTCTCCTAATTATCTTCACTTAGGCATGCACAATACTACCAATGAGTCCGTGTTTTAAAGAGTCCTAAATTGATGCTACAGCGGCCCAACTAGAACACTTTAGTTGTTCGGCCCAACTAGAACACTTTAGTTGGGACAGTCCCAGCTGAAGTCTGGACCGATGTAAGCACCATTGATATATCGATATTACTCGATTATTCGATATTGTTTTGATATCGATATCGCCAATATCATTTTTTTTAATCATATTGAAATATCAATTCGATATTGAGGAATATTATCAAAAATATCGAAAAATTTGATAATGAAGAATGATAGACAGTATAAAAATGCGTTAGATTATCGTCAAAATAAATCTACCGTTTGTGGTTTTACTTTGTGTTTAACATTTGCTGTATAATGGAATCAAAGTCGGCGGCAAATTGTGTTTGTGAGTGAGCATAAAACATCGCGAAATGTCAAGCGGCAACGCTTTGTGATTTGCGTTCGCTGGAATACGTGGTCTCCAGTATACAATGCAAAAATTCAAAAGAAGCTGTCCTGTTTTGGGGCTTGGAGAAGTTCCGTTGTTCGCCGTATCTTTTCGTACATTCTCTCACCGGTAATGCTCGGCGCTGTAGTTATGAAACTAACTAATCGAGCAATGTGCTCTGAAAAAAGGTGTGGGAATTGATTTGTTTATTTTTTGTGGTTTGAAGAAGTTCAGTTGTCTAATTTGTTCCCACATATTTCTCGCCGGGTATTCCCCCACCCATCGGCGGTCCTTTTATGTGCACTGTCACCATGGAAATACAAATGCCTAGCAACAACATGCCAGTGGGTAGGTAAGGCCCACCTCCGTGCCCTCCCCCACTAAATCCGCAGGTGAAAGGATACTGAAGTGGTGGGTAAATATATGATGAAACAGCATTTCATTCTGCAAACTTCCCTACCATTTGCATAAATTTAAATATGCATTAGCCACTCCAAAAACCCTTATTTCATTGATAATACCATAAAGGCCATATGATATTTCTTTTTTGAGTTGGTCGTTGCTGAGAATAATTAAAACGGACTTAACTCATTCATAATCGATATATCAAATATACTCAATATTGGATTTCCAATATATCGATTATTGAAAATTCTAAAATCGATGGTGCTTAGACCAATGGTAAATTTGCTTAAAATGAGCAAAATTTAACGGTTTTGTTTGGAAGAAGGTTGTTTGGCATTTAAAGGTAAGCTAATAGTATATATCCAAACGAATTAAAAAGGAATATAATGAATCCCAGGAAGTATGCATAGAATTGTCTTAAGTCATCTCTTATAGTTGTTGCCTGTCTGCATGGTGCATGAGGATATAGTAGAACTTGACCACTTGCTCGTAGTTGGAGATGCGGATCCTCTCGTTCACGCCGTGGAATCGTGGGATATCTTCTGGGAGGTTGAAGGTCGGGCAGAAGCGGTACAGCTTGTCCGTCACGCTGGTGTAGTGGATGGTGTCCGTGTTGGCCAGGAGAATCCCTGATTGGTTGTGAGAAACAAATGAAGCATTTCGAAAGAGGATTTTTTTTTCAGTCCAACATGTCACGTCGAAACAAATTCAATATTGGGTTCTGCCTTTCAACGACACAATTTTAAAACCAAGGCTAAAAAAAAGGGGGGGGGGAACAAATTTTGGAAGGAATTCAGTCTCTTCATAGTACACCAACAGGATGTTCTAAAGTTGGGAACTCTGTAAAGAGAACTGAAGAGCTATCTATTTATATTAATATTACAAGCACCTCAATCAACGTACACAGTGATGGCTGCTTCGCAGATCCACTTTGCTCAACAAACCGACAAAATGCTCGAAATTGACTACCTGAGCCTTTTATTTTTCCATACAGTTGCATTACCGAAGCTGCTATCTTGACCCAAACTGAAACACACAATTGTTTAAAATGAGCTACGTTTTCAACTTATCAAAAAACTAAGACAAAGCAAGCGTACTTTTAATGGCTGGTCACAGAACACACAAAATTCTATTCAGTTGACTCAGAATGGCTAAAAGTTGTAAAAATGCTTAAGTTGCAACATGATTGAAATGAAAAATCCACTTTCGTTATTCACATTATTATTATTATTATTTATTAAGCCAACAAATGAACAAAAGTACAATGACAAAGCAAATAAAAATTAAAAAGTAAACAAAAATTGGAAATTGAAAAGTAAGACCAGACAAGACTGAAGAATGCGAGTAGGAATGGGTCGGGGGAGGGGGGAGGGAAGGGAGGGTGGACAGTTTGACAGGGGAGAGGAGATAGAGGGACAGAAAACAAAAACAATATAACATTCCAAACCGGCCAGGAACAAACATGGAGACTTGCCTAATTGCCTACAAATGTATCATCAAAGTACAGGAAACAAGTGGTGAAAGATTAATTTACGTGGGGTGTAGTTGCTTCAAGACAAATGTGAATCAATAGCTTCAATAGCTGCTCCCTGACCAGTGTGCGCCACTATCAAACGATCAATAAAGCTCCGCACCATGACGTTTGACCAATCTCAGCCTTGATTAATGTTCAACATGTGTGCAAAAAAGTCTGACATGCGTGCAGGCGTGTATAGTGTGTGTGGCTGGTACATGCAGTGAGGCATTGAAGAAACGTACAAGTTGTTTCCCAAAGTGCACAGTGGACGGGGCTGAACCCTCCTGCTGTCTGAACAGTCACAGACAGTCAAAATATCAGTCCTCTTCCCCTGCCATGCCTTTTACACCCTAGTCACCAACAGTCAGATCATATTTCAAGCAAGCACTGTGACTACTCACATTCAGTCAACAGACAAAAGCAGGCAACTGGTTGTCACAGCTGTCTTATCAATTACCTATATCAAAGCATAGTATCAAACAGTCACAGCCAGTCAATCCTGCTTCCAACAGCCATCCCCCCCCCCCCCCCCCCCCCCGGTCCCAAAAAAAGGCAGCCACTGCATACACCACCATCTTTTGTTAACAAAAAAAATGGTTACAGTGGTCAGAAATTGCCTCAGATCGCACCACAGAGCATCTACAATCCAAACATTTCCCCCATGTCGTAAATTTTTTAATCAACTCTATTGGGGGGAACATTTTGTTCTGGATCTTCCTATGCCTGCCTCATGAAGGCAGGCACAACTTGACCGTTAAAAAGACACCTGAACTGAAAGTACAAATTTGCACAGAATGAATGTTTGCATAGGAGGGTTAAATCTATCAATCAATCAGTCAGTCAGTTCAGTCAGTTCTCTTTCTGGAAATAATGTTGCAACCTGACGCCACTTTTTCTTCATATATCACCTCATGTGCAAAAATGATGATAAGACATGAATCTGGGACTGAGAAACATTTCCAATTTTGTTAGGAAATAAAATGTTCTTGACTCTCCATAGACTTTCGCAGAAGTGACATCATTAGGTTGTAACATTATTTCCAACTCCAGCTCCAATGCTCATCAGCAATTGAAAATGTTGAATTCCTGATGAGCATTGTGATTGGAGCTGGAATTTCTCTTGCCCTAGTCTATGGCCCACACTGAGTAGACTCTACATCTACTCTAGTGCGGGCCATGCCATAGGCTAGAGTTTCTCAAGCTGCGTCCGGACCAATAATGTATTAGATTTGTACACAAATCACGGAAGTGGTCAGGTTGCAACATTCTTTCCCTCTTTCTTACTATTATTATTGATGGCCAATAGGAGGTTAAAGGGAATATACATCATTTGCTTTTGCTGTGATTTTCAGAAATGGATGGAATTGGGGGTTGGAAATATAAAGCAAAGATAGTTACACTGACTTTTTGGAGGTTTTGGGTTCGAAAATGCTATAAAAACCAAGAAAAACGATCATTTTCCTGTAGTCTGGTTCCCTGACTCCATATAAGAAGAAACAGAGCAGTTTACATACATTGGGGAATTGTAAGGTCAGGGAACCAGTCTAGCTGGCTCGTACCCGTTCATAGGTTTGTAATCGATTGCAAACAAGTGCAATGGTCAATTGGGGCCAGTATTTGAAAAAAAGCCAGTTGTTTCCAACGCTGATCGGCCGATCAGCGTTGGAAATTGATACAAAAATACCACTTTTCTTGAAAATGACAGTATACCATGTGCCATAATTTTACAGGATGCTTTAGACTGTCATTTACCAACATCCTATTAAGGTATTTCGCAAAAACTTGGTAGTTTTATTTTTCGATGTTTGCAAATGTTGTATATTCCCTTTAAAGAAATGAAAGAATCATAACAATACCTGGGGCAACGATAGCATCTGGGAAGACTTGTTTAATGCTCTGCCCAATTGACTGATAGGCAAAACACTGCTCGTCATACGGGGAAGTTATGGTGGCCTCTCTGCCTTGTAGGATCTCCATCTTGATGCGGTCATCGTTGATGAGGCGTCTGTCACGTTCTAAAACCTACAGAAGAGGAACATATATGATGTCAAATTGGATGAAACTTCAAATGGAGGAAATTCCTGCAAAAATTATGTGAGGGTAATTTTTACAAATTTTTTGATTCTGAGAAATTCATGATGCCGGTACTCTATAAAATAGGGCGTAAAAGATTCAATCTTATTCTTTTCTTTAAAGGAAATATACAACATTTGCAAACATCGAAAAATAAAACTACCAAGTTTTTACGAAATACCTTACTAGGATGTTGGTAAATGACAGTCTCAAGCATCCTGTAAAATCATGGCACCTGTTGTGAAGTCGTTTTCAAGAAAATTGTATTTTTGGATACATTTCCAACAGTGGTCGGCCGACCACCGTTAGAAAAACCTAACTACTGCTCCAAATTCACCATTTTTTTTTCAGTCCAATTTTGTTTGCTATTGGCTACATGTTCATGAACGGGTGCAGGCCAGCTAGACTGGTTCCCATACCTTACAATTTTCCGGCATCTAGAAATTGATCCATTTTATCTTTAGTGAGTCAGGGAACCAGACTACTTCACCATTTGTGTTTTTCGTGGTTTTTCCAGCATTTTCGAACACAAAACTTCAGACATGTCAGTGTAACAATATTTGATCTATTATAGTAACCCCTCATATAGTTCATTTCTGAAAATTACAGCAAAAGCCAATGATGTACATTCCCTTTAAACAAAAATTGTGTCTTTTTTTTTTTCAATTTTGCTGTGGAATATTGCCCAAATAAGCCAATTCTAAAGACCAGAAAAATCATTTTTAATGAACTAAACAGTTTTTGTAAACTGAAAGGTGTCTAATTAAATACTGTAAAGTTAAAATTTGACTGTTGCTTATTAGTGCCTGATATTAATGCATGATAAGTATCCAAGAAATTCTTGCCTCAAAGATATGTCAACGTTTCCGCAATCCTCAGTGCTGAGAAATTATAGCAATCATCCTATTTTTGTAAAACTTTAAGCAACTTGGTTACACAAACAACCGCAGCCGATAACAAAACTTTCCAAGATAGGACAGATTTTGATGACCAAAAAAATTGGTTGGCAGCCAACATGCCATGTGACTTACTATGCTTTGCTTTTTAAAGAGGTTGTGGAATGCTCGAAGACATTTCCGTCATTTTTGGGGTATATGTAGCCTAAGGTGTGATGAAATAAAAACGACTATTGTGTCTGTCATGAAATGAGTACAAAAGGTACTTTTGAGAGCTGTTTTTCAAGTCCTGTCATGCCTGTTTCGACCCGAACGTGCAATTTGTGTAAAAGTCATCGTTGCGGGCAGCAAACAAAACACAGTAAATCGTGACGTAATAAACAGGACTCCCGATGCAGAGTAGCATATACGAGTCCTGTTTATTACGTCACGATTTACTGTGTTTTGTTTGCTGCCCGCAACGACGACTTTTACACAAATTGCACGTTCGGGTCGAAACAGGACCTGAAAAACAGCTCTCAAAGGTACCCTTTGTACTCATTTCATGACAGACACAATAGTCGTTTTTATTTTATCACACTTTAGGCTACATATACCCAAAAAATGACGGAAATGTCTTCGAGCATTCCACAACCTCTTTAAATAAAGAAATATTTTCAGCTGTAGAAATCAGGTCCGGCTACACTAGCATGCATAAAGAGCCAAAACAGGAAGCATGATTATGCAGCACAATCCCCCAAAAAACTAAAAATGATTGTTTTCTGGTTGGAAGCTTTCGTTTTTACCTGCTGTATAGTCTGGCTTGGGTGAATACGGTGATTGACGATAGCAGAAGCAGAAGGGGGCAACACGTTAGCCTGGTATGAAAAGGAAATCAAACAGGTCTGAATTATCTGGCCAAGCTCAGCAGTTGCACTGCGATGATTTTAACTCATTTCATCGGTGTTCTCAAATATCCATGACTCTTCCGGGAAAAACTTAGGGCTTTTCAAGGTTACACCTCTATGTTCCGACACCCCTATGTTCCGACTGCACATATTCCTATTCCTAACCCTAACCCTAACCCTAACCAGGAGTAACACAATCTAGGTTGTCGGAACATAGGGGTGTCGGAACATAGAGCAGTCACCCTTTTCAAGACCAATTCCTGGGCTGTTGGTATCTTAGGAGCCTATTGCTCTAGAGGCAAGGGACACCACTCCCTTTCAGCCTTCCAGTTTGACACAAGACTACTGAGTGCCATGAAAGCATCATCAAAGTAAACTACTAAAAATGGAGAACAGTAAAATTGAAGAGTTGAACAAGACTTTTAAACATTCATTCGCGATTTCTTGTTGAACTTGTTTCATATCCTCCACTTTTTTGGTCAAATCTTTCATAGTTTTGGCCAGCTGGCTCATAGTTGCAGATATTTCTGTGTTGCTGGGACTCATTTTTGATGTCCTGCTTTTGTTGCCAATTTTTTACGTGCAGTTATATGCATATTCTGTTTGGCCACATTTCCTGTGCTCAACCTGGGAACGACATTGTCTTTTTCCGTTTTTGTCACATCTTATTTTTGTGCAACATTGGCTGCACTTTTATCTATATCCCCTTTCACCATTGGTGATTAGGGAGTTTTTTCAGTTTTACAGCAAAAAAAAAAAATTAAATTCCTGGCACTTCTGTGCTCAATTTTGTCTGGCGACATCTGGTCTGTGTCAGTGCATTTGTTACTGGTTTTGCGTATGCGCGATGGTATCCCATGGAATTCCATATCCGCCAGAGGGCAGTATAGAACTAAAACGCAAACTGGAAGACTGCAAAAAGCCAAATAACTTTTACATCTCATCATTTATTGGTTGTACTAGGATTCCACAACTTTTCTGTGACTTTCCATGATAGCTGAATATACCAGGATTTCCCCAGATTTTTCCATAACTGCGGTAACCCTGTTTCTTGTCGAGCAAGTTACAACTTTTATCTTTTTGATTAACTAGCACAATGTCACAAACTACCAGTAATCACTGACAGAAACCCACTGTTTACTCACCTTGACACCACCCTTGAATACAGTGATGGCGGTGCTTGTGTGCAGTAGCGCTCTAGTACTCTCCTTCTTGCGCATGATGCTATGGAAATGTACAAGTGGAAAACAGACAGCATTAGCCCTTCTGTGAAAGGAATAAAGCTTTTTACCAAGCGCATACATGATGTATGCCATCTATGGTAGTGCAGTTTATAACCAGTGTTGTAGTACTCGTACTTGGTAATCGTACTCCCCAAGTAATTTTTTGGGAGTACTTGTACTCGTACTCAAATGTCAGAGTACTTGTACTCAAAATGACGGTACTCAACATGTCGAAATTGTACTCAATTATCAAAGTACTCGTACTCAAATAGCAGTACTCGGAGGAAATTGGTAACGCTTGACTTACCACAGCCTTATTTTATCGATAATTTCAGTTTGAAATGGTTGATTGGCTTGTGGAGAAATCAAAGTTTCCTGATTTTCCTCTGTGCACGTCCGGACAAACACATTTAACGGCTGGCCATGAGTGGGTCTGTATATTGGTCTGACTGGGCCTCGGCCAAATACGCACAATGAACCATTTGCCGTATGGCCATATTCGGAAATACAAGTACTCGTACTCGTGCAAGTACTCGGAGACCTGTACTTGTACTCGGAGGTACAAGTACTCGCACTTGGCAATCTAAGTCCTCGGCAGTATTCGGTACTCAGGACAAAAAGTACTTGACTACAACAATGTCTAAAACAAGAGTAGGCCTGCCTAATTTAACTAGACCTGAAAGTCTCACTTCAGGATTCTATAAATGGTGACTCAGTCAGTATGTCATTCTGTCAGAGGACAACAGGCTGGCCTTTGTCCAAGAACAATCGATGAAACTTTGTGTCCACTTTCGCGAGCCCTAGTGGGAGGGTCACATCTGCATAAATTGGCATAATAAGCACAACTCATTTGCATAATTAGCATCTCTGCTGAAGCTTTAATGCCAATGTGTTCAACCTTCTCTCCAAATGGTTTATGGCAACTCTATGTCGTGACTTTGGGTGTGATCCCTGGCTACTTGGCATATACATACAAGTTTTATGGCTTCTGACTAGTGCCCCTTGAACACAGACATTGACAACACAGGGCTGGATAGCTCAGTTGTTACAGCATCAGAACAACAATCTGGAGGTGGCAGGTTCGAGCCCCGCTTCCATCAATTTCGTTGTTCAACTTTTGCAGCATTATTATAACACACCCAGTCACTTTTCCTTTGTGGATTATTTTAGAATTCCCAAATTGAGTGAAACAACCACACTATTCAAGGATTAAGAAATTTACCTTTCTACAAGCTTCTGGAAGAGCCATAAGTTTGCAAAGACAAGCTTGATTGGGTACTCCACCTATATGTGACCAACAACCACCACAAAAATAGGAAAAGGATTACAGACTCTAAGAAAGTTACCACCACTAATGCCAAATGGGCTTGTAGCACACATTTGATAAAACAGAACATGATGGCATGAATAACGCACATCAAGAAATGAAATTGGGGATACAACCTCAATGAGGCCTTCATTGTTCATTTCGTCATCGTTTTCAAGAAGAGATGGGCATGTCAACAATGACAATTTTTTTAGATTTCAACTTTTTTTCTTTTTTCTTTTTTGCTTTAAAACATCATACTCGACCATTTTGACATGCTTCCATAAGCAAAACATCATTAATTTCTACATTAAATTAATGATGTCAGGGGAAGGCATCTCTCATCATTTTGCAATTTCAAGAGACACTAACATGCCTATCCCTTGAACATGTACAAAACGTATTGCACGGAAAGGCGTAAAAGTAGGTCAACTGAGAAATTTTTTTTTCACGAAGGGACGGGCATGTATGTCACATTCTCAGCTGCGCGCCGTTAACACGTGAGCCCCATCCCTACGGGCATAAATGTAGGAAAACTTGGATTTTCGTTTGCACGAAGGAATGGGCATCTTTACTATTTCATTTTGGCTAATTAACCACTTGTGTTAATTCCAATAACTGGGTTAACATAAACATTTACCTTTTCTAAAGAACTATGTGAATGTTTCCTTACTACATAGAGAGGTTGCAAAGTAGTAGTTTTTGAAGTTTTGAAATAGGAGAAACTTCTTTTGCGCTTATCTGGAAAAGTTTTTTTCTTCAAAATCCACATGCCTGTCCCTTTGAGTAAACGGTGACGATTTATGAAGATGTTTCTGTTCATTTCAAATACTTGAGTAAATTACATGCCGATCCATATATAAGCCCAGTCGTCTGCAAAGATGGGCAACAAAAAGTCCACCTCTCCATTGTCACAATGCCTATTTCAACCAGGCAAGTTGCATGTTCATTAAGTGCCAAAAATGATGGACTTTTGTTGGAAATTTTTGGAAGTGAAATCAAGGCCGTGATTGGCTAAAAAAAAAAAGAAGGTGGGGGTGGGGCTTAATGGATTGGTATTTTATTAATAATCACCTCAGATGTCAAATAGACAAAATTGTCGTACTCGACGCCGGAGCCAAACATGCTGGGAAATGGTGTGCTCTCAAGTCTATATTAGAAGGGGAAAAATCAAAAGAATTTATAGGTTCGCTGCTGTTTTTGCTTAGTATAAGCAGTTTACAATATCACTGAAACTTAAGTAATAATAGTATGCAGTTGGGGAACCACGCTAGCTTGGAATTTTTGTTTTGTACCGAAAGCTACTGACAGAGGAACTAGTGAAGAAAACTTTAAAGTTTCTTATTTTTTTTCATTTCCTTAATTCGGCGAAGCGCGCACAAGCGTTGACACGTCGCACACGCGCGCGCGGTTGCTATCAGTGCGCGACATCGCGTAGCTGCAATCGGCTCAGTGAGAACGTGTCTCAGATGCTGAATTCAGGCCCAATTCAAAACATGATTCCGCAACTTTTGATTTGAAATTGAGATCCTAGAATGCTGTTTTTCTCGGAATATACAGCTGAAGCCGAGCTGAAACTTCATCAGGTTAGTTGTTCAGTACCCTTCTTTAGATTTTGAACACTTTTGTTGCTTCAAACAAACAAAATGCATAAATTTATACACATGATGGACTATATCTTTAACCAATTGATGTGAGAGGTACATTTGCTTATGAATATACATGAGTGTAATACATTTATGACTTTTGTGTGATAGAAACATCTGCTTCGTATGTGTACGCATCATATGCGCAAATGTACTGGCAGCACCAGCATAAAGCCCTATGAGGTTACACCTTTTTGTTATTTCCGGTTCCAACGCTACCCCGTGTACTGGGCATTTATGTGCAAATGACGTCACACTTACAAACCATATATCCAGTAACATGAGTAATCATGGTAATGCAGATTGTATGAGCAATATCAATTCGGGCGATTCACAATGCAGTGCGCCACCAAGAGTTTGCCAAGGAGAGTTCATTTTTCCCAGTGCATTGTGGGAGATGGTCGACAAATTCGCAGCGTGGGACATTTGAAATTGTGAGTTTTTCCGGTCAGTGGTTTCGTAAGCGTATGATTCGAGGATACTCTTTGCCCATTTCGTTTCTTGTTATCAATATGGTGTTTTGTGTTAACCCTAAAGGGGCCGGGGGGGCGGAATCCGCCCCCCCCCCCTTCAACATTTTCCGCGATAGCTTCTAAAAAAAATTTTTTCGCGACCCAAGCTGTTATGACTTTTTAGCCTCGAGCTTTGCGCATCTTTTGATACCAAAAACATAAAAATCGGACCACGGGTTGGCCCGTAGCGAAAATTTGTTCGGCGCTACGCGCCGTGAAAACTGAATTTTCGCATATACGTCGTGTACACCGAGCAGAATTGCCATTCATACATATGAATAATTAATTAGCCATAATTCTAAAACCCTTTGACCTACAGTCATGAAATTTCTTGGGCATGTTTAGGAAGAGTTGCTCTATGCATGTGCTGAGTTTCAAAATTTTTCGTCACTCGATGGCCGAGATCTTAGGGGGGGGCAGAATCCGCCCCCCCCCCCCCCCCCCCCCCCGGCTGAGAGATGGTCAAAATAACCCGGCCCCTTTAGGGTTAAGGCGGCAGAACGCTATGCCCCAATCTATGACATATTAGCTCAGGTTGTCTACCGACACTCATTCAAATGAGCCATGTTATGTCGACTGTTAACTTGAAAAATGGACTCTCCGTTGCAAACTCTTGGTGGCACACTGCATTGTTAATCGCCCGAATAGCACAGTATCTGCACGCAAGCATGGTACCTCCTCAGTGATTCTACATGTTTTTATGGTCGTTAGATTGGTAAGTATGTTACTAAAACATGGTATGTGACCTGAACCAACAAAACTAAGTCTTCAGTACCATTTTCACTTCTTTGTTTTAATTTGCAGGATAAGGAGGATGCCCTGCTCTTCATATATCCCTAAGTTTAACATTTAACAATTGTTGACTGCTGTGATGTGGGATATGACGTTTTGAACACCCGAGGGACACATAGCACCCGAGGCAAAACCGAGGGTACTATGTGCCCCGAGGTACTATGTATCCCACATCACAGCAATCAACAATTGTTTTGTTATACCTCTGTCTTGGATTATTTTGATTTTGATGTAAAAATCACGAAAACAAACAGCAGTAAACACAACAATCATGACAACCGAACGTCAACTCACATGCATGTAGCGTGCTCGAAACAGCTGATTGTCTGCTAGTTCGCTGCTCCCACTCATGTGTAAAAACAAGGTGAAAATAGCGTGGGTACCAACGATACAAGAGTTTCACACCGTATGTACCGTATGCACAAAGTTAAAATCATAGAACACTCCCTGTGGGATATCACGTACGTGACTTTTTACAAACTTAACACGTGATCGTTTTAGGCCAATGAAAATACAGAGTTCAAGACAGAGGTATAACAAATGCAGATGCTATGTAGGTGAAAATGATTTGCTTTGTGCAAAATGAGTGAAAAAGCTTATGGGCTCCTTTTCCCCAATCTTGAAAGCTCCATGTATGGCACACATGTACACGGCACAAAAGTATGCTGACGCAATGCGTTCAAATATCCCTCCCAGTGGCCTCCCCCATCTGTCTAAACCGTCCAGCAGGTACTCATTCACAGAGTTCATTTACTCAAAAGTACCTGTGGCAAATTGGAACTCATTACGTTGGGTCAGGTAACATGACTTTTGCTCACTTTGAAACTGCGTTGGCTAAGATTCCAATGTTAGTCTCAGTGGGTGGCATGGAGGAATGGCCGGTCTTGGCACTGTCCACGCTCAGTTTCATGGTCAAGTAGCCTTTCTCAGAGACCCCGATCAGCCCGACGGGACGACTGACGTGCTTGATGACGTCTTGTAGGATGGTGAATCCCTCGTCCAGTAGGAACTCTGCCTCTACACCACGCTCCAGGAGGGTCTTGGCAATGTTGAGTGCACCGTCCACACCGGTCACCTTGGGTACAGATTGAACAGAAAGACTGGAATTGGCCGCCAGAATTGGCCTGGATTGCAGGAGAAGGTATTCTGCCGTCAAATTGTTTGCAGGTTGCCCAAAAATCTTTTGTCTTCAATTTCCCATACTAGGCAAATGCAATCAACTACAATATTCATGGACAAAACCATGGAATATTTAAATAATGATCACACATTTTGATCTTACCCTTTGCATGTATGTTCCCAACATGACTGCAACAAACAAAGGTTCATAACAATTGGTCAGTCACTTAAAAACAAAAAACAAGGGGAGGAGATTTTATTTGGCCCCTCCCCCCTTCCCTTCTTAAAAATATCACTCAGTTTAACATCTTGGGGTGTTGGGGTGTCATGCAGGATTAGTACCCTTGTAGGAAAGCAGTAGTACCTGGCTAAGCCTAAGGCTTGCAGATATATACACCGGTCATCTGCTGGGAACCTGTGTCTGATCTCTTCTCACAGCCAGATTCCAACATAGGCACGGCAAGATGACCATCTCAGTGGGTTACACTTAAACCAACGTGACAACAGACAATCCAAGCAAGGTAAAGAAGTAAAGCCTGTCATGAGCCAATGTGGCCCATCAGGCCAGCGTTTATGTCCGGTTTCAGTAGCATGAAACGACTGAGAATATTTCAACTCCCCCTGGATGGGATGCTAGTTCATCGCAGGTTAATCCCCAGTTAATGCCGGTACCCATTTATACTCCTAGGTGGAGAGAGGCAAGTGGGGATTCAGTGGCTTGCCCAAGGACACAACATATGACCAGCAGCTGGATTTGAACCCCTGACCCTCTTATCATGAGTAACAAACCCTAACCACTAGGCCACACTCCCCAAATGCAAGTAAAGGACAAGTACTTTAACAAATTCCAAAATAACCATGAGCCACCCCATGACATCTCCCTGGTCCTCATGGATCCCAGCGCAGCATCTTAAATACCCATGACAACTGCAGAAGTGCTGTTGGGACACAATTTGCTGATACCACTACGAACGGCAATAGTGAAGATGCATTCCTGCTGCGCAAGGTAACAAGCCACTGTGTAGAAGACACCTGGCACCCCAAAAAGAGGATCTGCCACTGGACCAGGTACAGCAATGATGGCACCACCAAGAAGGTCTTAGACATGTTAGATTATGTCCTTGTGTCCAGATGCTGGCTTCACTCCATCCATCAGTGCTGGTCTACCGTGGGGCAGATAGAGCTTGGCAACACAGACCACTGCTTGCTTGTCGCCCATGTCAAATTGAAAGTGAAGGCCAATCCTAGCCCCAAGCAACATCAAATACATGATTCCAGCTGATTGCTAGATCCCATTATCACAGCCCAATATCACTGTCAGATGGCAAATCACATAGCAACCATTTGCCTCCTTAATATCGAGAAGGCCTGCAAATTTTGCAAACACGGAGATATGGCCATTGCCTTCGTCGACCTCAAAGCTGCCTTTGACTCCGTTGAACGCTCTGTATGGCTAGCCCTACAGAGATCTAGAACCAGTCTAGCCGGAAACAAGTCAACCATTTTGCTGCGATCTACGACAACTCCAAGACTGTGTCAGAGTCAATGACAGAGACACTGACTGGTTCTGCATAAATTCCAGAGTTTGCCAGGATTGTATTGCAGCACCTGACCACTGCAATGTCCTCATTGACCATGTGATGCCTATCATTGCCTTGCGTATCCCTGGTGTGACCCTGAATGACTACAGCCTCAAAGACCTGGCATTTGCTGACGACAGGGCCTTGTTTGCCACCAGTGTTGAAGACGTCCACACTGCCCTCTCCATCTTCCCCAAAGAGGCCACCAAACTCAGCCAAGAGCTCAGCAGTTCAGAGACTCATGTTTGTTGGTGAAGGACCCATTCCACATCAACAACCAAGATGTCGAGTTTGTGGAAACCTGTTGTATACCGGTGCCTAGGCTCCACAGTGAGTGTCACTGGAGAGATCCTCACGGAGATGGCAGACGTGGGGGACTGGTTTCAGGAATGTGAAGTCCCTCTGGAAACCCCTCTGGCGCCATCACAACATCAGTCACCAGACAAAGCTGCGCATCTACAATGCAAGCGTGTTGTCAGTATTGCTGTGTGGAGCAGAAACATGGGCCATCAATAAGACCCAGGCTCATTGACTTAGTGACTTTGAAACGAGAAGAGCCCTTAGAACCACTGAAAACATCAGACAGCCAGACAACAAACTAGGAATTGCGACGAATAATGCAGAAGCCTTACAAACTGAACACTCTACCTTCTTGTAACTCTGTTGGTTTTGACAGGTATTACGACTCCCTCCAATCATCCAACAAGGATCATCTTAGACTTAATGTTGACCCAAAATCAGCAAGTTGGAATTAAGCACCGCCGATTAAGCGATATTACTCAATTATTCAATAATATTTTGATATCGCTATAGCTGACAGCAATTTTTTTGTCATATCAAAATATCGAAATTTTTGAAATTGAGAAATGATATCGAAAATGCGTCAGATTATCATCAATATAAATCTCACGTTTGGGCTTTTACTTTGTGTTTAACATTTGCTGTTTGATAAAATAAAACTCGGTGGCAACTTGTACTTGTGACTAAAAAAACCCTTTCGAAATGCCAAGCGGCGTTGCTTTGTGCTCTGCGTTTGCTGGAATTTGCGGTCTCCCCAATGTAAAACCTCAAAAGATACCGCCCGTTCTGGACAAACTGTCAGTGCTGAGATCTGTTTTAAAAAGTTTAAGCAATATGCACCAGAGAAAATTGGGACTTGAGATTTCAGGTGTCATCTTTATGATCTTTAACTTTTACTTGATATAATCAATATCTAATATTCTCAATATTGGATTTCAGATATATCGATTATTGAAAATTCTAGTATCGACGGTGCTAAGTTGGAATGTTCTGTTGGCAAGCCTCATACACGCTGGCTGAGATACAGTTCCATCGTAGAAGACCTTAACCAAATACATGTATGACTTGACTATGTAACAGCGACATCAAATGACGCCCGGAAAAGAGATCTCTGGCGCTCCGCGCCTTTCGGACAGGAGACACGATAATGACGAATATTTCGATGATGATAATGATGATGATGCAGATTTTGAAGGTGATGATGATGAATTAGTACGTGGACAGTTCCAGAGTGTCAGATGTACATTTTGGACAATTTTAGTAAATCGTGTGCATAATTATAGTTTTCATCATAAAGTGAATTCAATTCTGATAAAGACCAATGGTTTTTTGTATATGACTATTTTGGAATTTTGACATTGAGGTTTGTAATTCAGTGGAATTGTCAACATGCAGTTACTTTTTTTGTCGGTGAAAATGTAGTGTTTACATGGAATTGCTTTAGCCAAAATGTGTGTAAAGGCGGATGGACTCTGTGCACAAATAGTAGATGGCCCTTTTGAGAGCCCAATGGACGAGACATGCGCATACCAGGTCACATGCTTATGGCGGGAACTGATTTGATTCTGAATTGGCAAAAAGCCTTAGCACTTGCGTGAGCATCAGGCGTCACCAGAAGTGCGTTCAAATGTCCCTTCCAGTGGTTTCCCCAAACTCTCCAAACCGTTTAATAGGGCACTTGTGCACGGAGTTCATACCTCCAAAAGTAGCTCTAGAACTTGTGATTCAATTTGTTTGGTTTTTGTTGGGTCACATGCTACTCGTGCTCACTTTGAAACTGCGTTGGCTAAGATTCCAATGTTAGTCTCAGCGGGTGGCATGGAGGAGTGGCCTGTATTGGCACTGTCCACGCTCAGTTTCACATTCAGTCTGCCTTTCTCCGAGACCCCGATCAGCCCGACCGGACGACTGACGTGCTTGATGACGTCTTGCAGGATGGTGTACCCCTCGTCCAGTAGGAACTCTGCCTCTACACCACGCCCTAGGAGGGTCTTGCCAATGTTGAATGCACCGTCCACACCGCCCACCTTGGGTACGGATCAGTGTTTTAGTTGAAAACCCCACAACACCATCGCAAGACCATCACAAGACCATCACAAGACCATCGCAAGACCATCGCAAGACCAGCACAAGACCAGCACAAGACCAGCACAAGACCATCGCAAGACCAACGCAAGTCCATCACAAGACCATCACAAGACCATCACAAGACCATCACAAGACCATCCCAAGACCAACACAAGACCATCCCAAGACCAACACAAGACCATCACAAGACCAGCACAAGACCATCGCAAGACCATCCCAAGACCATCACAAGACCATCACAAGACCAGCACAAGACCATCACAAGACCATCACAAGACCATCACAAGACCATCACATGACCATCGCAAGACCAACACATGACCATCACAAGACCAGCACAAGACCATCACAAGACCATCGCAAGACAATCTCAAGACCATCGCAAGACCAGGCAAGACCATCACAAGACCAGCACAAGACGTTCAGTCTCAATTCAAGTCACAAGCTATTCAAATGAACTGCAACAGAGGCATGCCTTTGCCACTGTTCATGCCTTGTGGCTGGTCTTTCACTTCCTCTGCAATTGGTCTCCTGTCTGGTCTTGTGAAGGTCTCGTACAGATTGGACAGAAAGACTGGAATTGGCTAACTGGATTGGCCAGGATTACAGCAGATGGTATTTTGCCATTAGGCAAATCGTCATATTTATCAACTTGGGGTACTCAAAAATAGTTTGTTTTCCATTGACCAATATCAATCATTATAATTACAAAATATTTTGACCAATAGAGCTAAAACTTTGCATTTATGTGATGCGATCAAGCTAAATGAGTCGTTTGTCGGGAATTTTTATTTGGAGATACAGGCCAAAATAGGGCCACTTCATCAATCATTTCATCACATCTCTTGGTTTTCCAACTTTCATAATTTTTCAACTCAAGATGGTATCAGCATGCGGTTTTCACAGCAATAATGCTGAGATGGTGCTCTTTTCAAATCTGTAATAAAACATTTTTGACCAGGGTCGACAAACAACTCATTTAGCTTGATCGCATCACATATGTTCTCAACGTGACTGCAACATACAAAAAAACTCATAACAATTAGTGAGTCAATTAAGAGAGAAAACAAGGGGAGGGGATTGATCCCCCCTCCCTTTTTAAGACCCCAAAATCTGATTCTTTTAGGCTTAAATTTAGTTGTTGTTTTCTTTCCACTGAATCTTACCTCTTCATCATGCCCGAAGCACAGATACAGGGGCCGGACTGGCTTCTCTCCTCTTTCAAGCCGAGACTCCAGGGCCTCCATGATTCCCTAGACACATTCAGAAACAGACAGGCACAGACAAGAAGGTAAAACAAAAAATAATAATAATAATATTGTTTACCGATAATTGGGTCTTCCCATAGACTTGTGCACACATTTTTTCCCATCTTTAATGACCCCTAACCCCAATTTTACCTTATCCTACCCTCACGAATTTCAGTAGTTTTACTAATTGGACCACAAGCAATCGATCTAGCCTATTTGCGACAGTAAAATTTTGCCTTTAAGTAGGGGATGTGGAATTAACCCTAACCCACCTCACTCCTCCAAAATCCTCCTGGCAGGTTTGGAGGATTCTAGAGGATTGAGGATGAATGGTGATTGAATCAAATGAGGATTCTGGAGGATTGAGGATGAATGGTGATTGAAGCACATGAGGATTTTGGAGGATTGAGGATGAATGGTGATTGAAGCACAAGAGGATTTTGGAGGATTGAGGATGAATGCATTTTGAGGCAGGACTGTCTGATGATTTTGAAGGATTTGGCGTTGGTTATCCTTCATTTAAACACGAGTGCAAAATTTTGGGATGAGGAGGATTTTGGAGGATTGACGATGAAAACATTTTGAGGCAGGACTGTCTGACAATTTTGAAAAATTTAGGCGGAGTTGCAAAATTTTGGAGGATTTTGGAGGATTGAGGATGGTTCTTAGCAAAAAGGGCCTAGGGGGGTAGGGTTAAGGGACATTAAAATGCATTTCCATGCATAATCAACTGTTTATTACACATGATAAGGTCTACTTTATGGTGAAAAGGTCCACTTCATGGTAAAAAGACCCTCCCCTTCCACCAGGCTGGCTATGGCCCTGATGTCATACCTTCATTTACATAATTTTCTCTGAAATGGTGACATATGTGTTCTCTTGACATGTTTGTGACATTTCTGGGTAGAAGCATGATATCGTTTCTAAAGCCACATATCACGAAAATTTAAACTCCTTAGCTCATCCAACAGCTTTAGTGCAAATGTTTTTAGAGTTACAGGGTACCTGAAGAATACCTGAAAAGGGTTAGAGATATGGTAAAACCGTACCTTTACCATTACTGAATGCTTGTCAATAGCAACCTTCACATGGATGCATGGTTAGGGTTAGAGTTAGAGTGAGGGTTCTAAGCTTGCTTTATGGTTATGGTTAGGGTGAGGGTTACGTTTGGGTAGGGGTAGGGGTGGCGGTAGGGGTAGCGGTAGGGGTAGCGGTAGGGGTATAGAGTTAGCGGTAGGCAGTCCTTCTGATTTGAAAATCACAGGCATGTGGAAAAAGGCACACCCGGATTTTTCTAGGCGTGTGGTTTTTGAAGGTGTGTGATTTTCTAGGTGTGTGATTCTGTGGTCCAGGGAAATTCAGGCGTGCAATTATTCACACTTCTCGGGAAGCTTTTAGGCGTGCGATGGCATGGGGGTGCAATCGCACACCTCGAATCAGCAGGACTGGGTAGGGGTATAGGGTAGCAGTAGCGATACGGGTAAGGGTAAGGTAGCGGTAGGGGTGGGGGTAGGGGTTAGGTTTAAGGTTTTTTGAAAGGCTACAATTACCATTAAGGAATGTTTGTCATCAATAGTGCCCCTCCCATAGATGCAACCGTCCTGTATCCTCCCTTCAAACGGTGGTACGTCCCAATCCTGGCCCTCCACAGGCACTACGTCCATGTGGGCCGCCAGAATATAAGACTTGAGAGAGGGGTCAGTTCCTTCAACTGTGTAGAGTAAGCTGTAAGATACGATGACTTCTCTCTTGACCAATGGGGAACTGTGGACCCTTGGAAAAGCTGTGGAATGCAAACCAAGACAGTTTTGAGTAACGTTATGAAGGTTATTATTTAAATTTTTAACACTCCTGTAAAATGTTCACCATTTTGTCAGGGGTGGATGTACTGTAAGTGTAACAAATAAAAAAATTTAAAAAAATGAGTAATTTCTTATTACTACCTTCTTTTGTCTTCTTTTTCACTGGAACTTAACGTTTCAACAATAAGAAAACAACTAGTCCAAAAATTTGGGACTCTCAATACTGTGTATGAGAGTCCCAAAACTTAACCCTTACCCAACTGGACCCTCCAACGCATGCCATTATGTGCCTTAAGAAAATGGCATATGTTTTTTGCATGGCCCTCCAATATCTGCCATGTCATTTCAAGGGTAACTGGACAGGCACTCCAATACATGCCACAGAGAACAATGAGAGTCCTCTGATAACAAAGTGAGTGCCCCCAGCTGGTCAGTATCAGGCACCCTCCAGGGCCTCCAACTCCTGCCAATTGGAGCCTTCACTGTTAAGACAAACTATCTGCCAATAAACTGCAGCTGGAGGGCATTGGCATAACCAACTGACACGCAGTAAACTACCCTCAGAGAGTAAGGGTTAATAAGGTATTGAAAACATGCAATACAAGAAAATAGACTGGCACCTGAAACAACTAGTCCAACACCCCTTCAGCATTGCAGCAATCAACTGTGTCAAAAGAAACATGTGGCATGAACCGGGAACTACAATGTAGTCACTTTATACTACACAGTTCTCCGTAGTCAGCCACAAGACTAATGGCACTGAATGAAGAGGTCAATCTTTTCAAGCAGTTGGACCATGGCTAGACATGTACCAGTCTAGTCTTTAGCCTCATTTTGAAATCACTTGATTTCTTCTCATGTGCAAAATATTGAAGAAATGTCTCCTTTAAAAATTGAATTGAGTCTGCAAACTTGGTTGGTGAAATAATGAGGACCTTTTCTTTGCCCACTGAAATTTGTGGAGAAATTTGCTTGCTAAAGACTGAGTAAAGTTGGCCTGATTTAGTTTTGCACATTTCAGAGCACTCCAGGTCCCAGTCTCGAAAAACAACCGAATCTGACATTCCCAACTATTCGTCAGAGTTGTAATGACTCGAGTCAATGACTCGACTCGAGTCCGACTCGAGTCACATTTTTTGGCGACTCGACTCGACTCAAGTCCCGATGGGTAAATGACTCGACTCGACTCGAGTCACTGCAAGCAAATGACTCGACTCGACTCGAGTCCCTCATCAGAATGACTCGACTCGACTCGAGGAAGGCTAATAAGACTCGAGTCCCAAAATAAAAGCATAACTTACTTGCGAAAAATATTTGCAATGACTTACGCTGCGCCGTTCGCGTTGCCATTTTTTGTTCACGTCACGTTATTGTTCGCGAATAATGTACGTTTATATACAGCGGCAGTCTGTTTTCTTCCTCCATAATGAAACAACAAACATACACCGTGTCGCGGACTCCCACCTTGTGGTTCTATAGCATGTAATGCTAAACCCGGAACCAGACTTAAAACGCATTTCTCAATCCGTGGTTTCATCATTGGTTTCGGGCGATTTTGAAGTTCTTGGTGGAACGCTGGCTAAATTCATGTCCCGATTTCACACAAAAAAATGGATATGGACGGGCCCACCTTTAAATAATCAGAAACAGTTTTGTATAATGCAATTAGCTTTTAACGTTGTCAGCGATCAGCGAACAACAAAATCTAGACCCGAAGCCAAACCAGTTATAAGACCGAAGTTTCACATCTTCTTATCTGTGACGTGAGCTAGCAATGGAAACTGTTGGTTGGGTACCATACAGCATACTTTATGTCTTTGGATTTCCGTAATAGACTGGTGCCTTGTATTCTTTCTCTCTTGTGTTTGTTGCTTTTTATTGTAATTTAGTGTTCAAATATTTGTGACTCGAATTGACTCGAGCTAAATACTTGACTTGACTCGACTCGACTCGACCACACTCTGTGACTCGACTCGACTCGACCTTGTTGACCTAATGACTCGACTCGACTCGAGTCACTTCTTTAAAATGACTCGACTCGACTCGAGTCACAAAAATCAGTGACTCGTTACAACTCTGCTATTCGTTTCTCCCTTTCACGAGCCATTCATTTCACATTATTAGCAACACTCAGATTTGAATTGATTGAAATTTTCTCATTGTTTTTTTGATTGTGTGCTCCTAAAACTGGGTTTGATTATCACTGCTTTTTAAGCAAAACGTACTTGGCATTACTGCAATCACAAATATACCAAACACAGAGCTGGAAGTCTCAATGAAATCGTACTTTCACTTGAACATTCTGAAGTTTTTCTTGAGTTTCGTGTTAAGGTTTTAACAGTCATAGGCTGTATTATACTCATAGAATATGAAATCTGGCAAGCAGTCTTTCTTAAGAAAACAACGTTTTCCAAGACAATTTTGAAGGTAATATATATATTTAAAGATTTTGTAATTTTTCATCTAGTTTTATACTTGTGTGTATACTTTTTACCAGAACACACAATTCGTATGCATGCACATTATTGAACAGCTATCTCTATTTATAAGTAGTCAAACAACAACATTTTGAGATTGCAATCAGCTTACATGCCACACTTACCTTTCTGCAAGAAAGCATGAAACTTCAAAATCTCACTGTAGTTGATATCACCTGGCATCCGAGAGATGGTCTCGTACCTGATGGCCTCTTGCAGATTGCTAACTATCTTCCCATTGCCGTCAAAAGGGGAAGTATCCGGAGCCAGACTGGACGGCTTTGGTTGCTTTGACTTCACCGTGATGGCACGCAGGACTAAAATGGCAACCAGACCACCGAGGCCGGCAGTAGCAGCAGAGAGAATGCTGAGGAACATTCTGGTGGAATGGTATCAACGTCACTTCTGAAATATGGGAAGAAACAAACAACTTCGTAAAGAAATCAAGTCATTTACTTTCAGGCCGATGCTTCAGTATTTTCCCCCCCGAGGCCAAGAGCAGCGCTTGCGACACTACAATGTGATGCGAGGTCACTGTCTCGTTTCCTCCATTTTTTGAAGGAATAAGCACTTTCATGGTAATATGGGCCATCTTGTTCACGGGGCAAAAAGAAAGCCCCTTACTGAGCACGCACGTCAATCAAAAATTTTGCGTTTCCAAGTCATCATGTGTTCATTCCAATATGCCCCTCACGTTGCTCTTTTTGCCCCGTGAACAAGATGCCGCATATTACTGTGAAAGTGCTTATTTACCAAACTGCCATAACCATTGCATTGGCAAACTAACCTTATAGGTACGGAAATGTTTGTTTCCTTGACATTATTATTTGGCAGTAGTGTATTAGGTGCGATTGGTCAATGTGTACAATGGGGCGATCGCGCAGCACTATTGGTCGATCATGACGCTATTGGCCGATCATGCTGCCACCAGAGGAACACCTTTTCTTTTTAATTCACGGCTCTGGAAGATTTTTTATTAAACCGGTTAGCATGGTTAGTAATTAAAGTTCCAGATATACATCACGATCGGCACATGGCGTGTATCATGAACCATCCCCGATTTTTTTTTTTTTTTTTGCTATTGTTCTGGCACTGCACTGAACATGCACAGTGGATGTATTGGGGCCTTTTTCGTATTCTTTCGTTTCAAAGTTCACTTCTATAAAGTTAAACACAGTCGTTAGTTACTCAAGAGAGGACGTCAACAGCCTATCGGACATGAGTATCCCCAATCTGGAAATTTAAATGACGATTTGGAAAAAAAGTTGCAACCTGACGCCACTTTTTTCTTCATATATCATCTCAATGAAGGTCATTCATTGCCAAAATGATGATAAGACATGAATCTGGGACTAAAAAAATTTCCAGTTTTGTTAGGAAATATGCCTAATGTTACTTAAAAAATGTTCTTGACTCTCCACAATCGCGGAAGTGGTATCAGGTTGCAAAATTTTTTCTGATGATTTTTGCTCAAAAAATTGGTTAAACTGAACGCGGTCAACGCTTTGTGCTCGCATTAGTTATAATTTAAAGGTATGTTGCCACTAGTTCGAAAATTAGGACTCTCAATACTGTCACTCTGTGAACATGGTGTGTATGAGCATGGATTCCTTCCTCCATGGTATGACATGTATGAGTCCCAAAACTTATATTTTAAGTACTGAAAACATGCAATACAAGAAAATAGACTGGCATCAGAAACAACCAGTCCAACAACTCTTCAGTACTGCATCAATCAACTGTCAGCTGACTGTGCCAAAAGAAATATCTAGGATGTCGGGTACTAGGCCACTATTTCTACAAATTTCTCCATAGTCAGGCACCAGACTAATGACAATGAATGAAGAAGTCAGTCTTGATGGTCTTGTAAAAACAGTTGGACCATGGATAGACAAGTACAAGTCTAGTCTTTAGCCTCATTTTGAAATCACTTGACTTCCCTCTATGTACAAGCCACTGCAAGTCTGACTCCGAGTAACTAGGACTCTACAAATTGCCCTCAACTTTTGGAGATGGTCAGGCAATAGTAGGGTCCTAGGATCTTGAGTACATGGCGATACCAATAACCTGTTTTGACCATTTTCACTCGTACCCCTATCAAAATCTTCAGATTTCACCCCAGTCCTCAAACTGCCTGATGCCCTAGTCCGAGTAACTTGGACCCCACTTATCACCTTTTTAACATTGGGACATGGTCTGGCGATAGTAGGGTCCAAGCTAATCCTTATATGCCGAGCAACACAATTCTGTCATTGACCAAGAAACCCAACATTGCCCATCTCCATCTCCATTGATTCAGTCACCAAAATATCCTGCCGGATTGCGCACTGCATGTGGAAATATACTACTGCCAGTAGGACTGGTGGATATAGTCCCACTAACTGGGGCACTAGAACTCCTTTTTGGACCCTTGACATTTGGGATGTTGGTGTTGTCGTACAAGCGTCCCACTGCGGAAGTATTGTCAATGTTACAATTTCACCACAAAGTCACCAAGTTAACCACAAAAGTCACGCAAAATACTTGACAAAAATTCATAACGTGTGGCTCTAAACAACAACTCGCCAAGATCAACATCCCCAGTATCCATATTGGTGATTCTGTCATTCAACCTTCCACATCATTATTATTTTTCAGATGAACCATTAAAATTCAAGCTGATCCCTTTTGAAGCTTGTTTTCTGAATTTCCAGTATCATTGTAAATGCTGAAGGGATCATGTAGAAGTTTTCCAACAGAATGTAATTTCTGTTAAATTTTATTTATAAGTTGACTTTCATGATCCCATGCTTTGGTATTGTCTAGAGTGTCTCGTGTGCTTTGCTATTGCCAAATCAAAAGAAGGGCTTTGCTGTGTATTTGTGTAAGTGAAAGTATAGATAAGACCAATGGCTATAATCACGACCTAGCTGCATGTTCCAAAGTGAACAACTAGTATGGGATGGTCTTTACAATCAGCTTTTATTGAATCTTGGGAATCGTCTTTTAGTTGGCGCAGAAATGTCAACGGAGGACAGATCACATCCTTACATTTGCCAAGAAACGAAGAACGTTCCCACTGAACTTTTGTGGAGCTTAATGTAAAGCTTAATCCTAGTGAAAACTTCACAGATATCGATGCAGCGATATTGATACAGCATACTTCATGCATTTTCAGTCAATTTGAGTCAGGTACCAAGTGACATGATACCAGTCCTGGCAATCACCTTCACACAACACCATGGTTCTGTTGTTCTTCGGGCGCATACATTCCCACCAAGGCAACACACAGAGAAATCAGAACTGAAGAGATTCTCTGTCGGCTGACATAGAAACCTGAGTGTTGAGGTGAAGCCCTCTGGAAAACCTCTGCCTACCACTATCCGCATGACCCGAAAAGATGATGCATGGCGGCGTAATTCCTCTGTAGTTGTCAGTATGCTGGGTTTCTGAGTTTTCCGTTTGGGCTAACAACGCTTTTCCTCGACGATTGTGCAGGCAATCCATTTGCGAATTTCCGACATGTCATGCTGTGGGGAGTATATCGGGTACTGGCCGCTACACACAATGAAGGACCGAAGTAACACATGAACTCCATAATCCCAACTGTTGTTCTGATGTGGGATGTCTGTTGGTGCCAGAATGGACCACTCCTCCAAAACAAGGGGCCTCTCAGATACAATCATGGAGCAGGAGGAAACAAATCGCAAGACTGAAGAGATGGCCCGTTCATCGTACCCATGAATGGACCACTCCTCCAAAACCAGGGGCCTCTCAGATACAATCATGGAGCGGGAGGAAACAAACTGCAAGACGGAAGAGATGGCCCGTTCATCGTACCCATGAAGAGAATCCAAGTATATCACCAGCTTTCCTGGATGCACAACAAAACTTAAAACCCAATGTAAACCTCCAACATTGGTAGGCATGATCCAAATGTCGCTGGACATTGCATCGCTTTCATTCACCCACCTTTTCTAAGCCACTCAGCAAAATGGACTGGGAAAATGCAGGCTCTTGCCCAGCTCTTAGCAATATATGGCAGTGAGGCACAGATGTTCATGAATTCATTGATTACTTGGTCGTCCAGCCAATTCTTACCCCTCAGAGGTTTTACGAGCTCCATATTTGTCCCATCGCTGTTCCTTATGCCAGCAGGAAAACGTTTACCTAACCATGGCTTTGCAGCCTCCTCGGCTTGACTAAGCCGTCTAGTGGACGAGGAACCGTGCTCGCTGGCTGGTTGTTCCATCTCATCGCAGGTATTCTCTGTGCTTGTGAGAGTCCTCCTTTTCCCATGTATCGGGGTGGATGTCATCGTGGGATGCACGTTTGATATGGGGCTTGTTCATCTTCAGTGCCCGCAGCGTCCATCGTTGGTGAGTGTTTGCAATCGGAGGTTTGCTGTTTGGTTATTGTCGTGATTTCAGCGGAAACTGTTGGGTCTTGCCGATGTATGCCGGGTGCATCACTTCCATGCGGGAAGTATACTCGTTGGTGGCCTCTGGCATGTTTCCTCTTGACACTTTCCTGTTTCCGTGCATACGTCCCATCTGTTTCTGTTGTCCTTGGAGTGTGCGAGGAATTGAATTCAAACCCCCCTGGAAATGAATTGAAATCATCCGGTGGTGGGGTTCGACAGTCTCCATATGATTCTGGCATCGTCATCTACGAATCTGGAGCAGGATCAACTTCCAAATTGTCTTTAGTTCTTGGTCTTTTTCGGCCCACTCTTGTTCGTCCCCTTTTGTTTCTCTTCAGTTCGATCAGGCTGTATCTCTTTCTTTTAACTGTCCAATTTCCAATGGCAAGGTTGCACGTTTGAATGTGAAGACAAGTACGTAGAGGGGTACATGTAGTACACCCCCAGTTCTTCTAAAGCCCATCCGCCTGCGTTGAAGATGGGTTCCTGTAGTGATCAGTGAAGTATTTCACGAAGGATTTGCTCCATTTGCATTCAAACTCTGAGATCTTTTCTCTGGCCTTGTCTTCTGACGGGCTGTCCAGTATGTGGAGCACGTTGTTTGTGTATACTCGCGTGTCGATTTGCGTACCACCGTGGCACGAGACCCAGTATTTGATGTCGATCAGAAGATGGTTCCCAACAGTGAATGTGAATCCACCTTGGGAGCTCCTTCTCAATAGCCTTGGTAATTGATGTTTCCCTGTTTGTCACTACGATGAGGGGTTTACTTGCAAGTTGTGGGTACGTTGTTGCAAAGTTCGAAAAAAATTGTTGGTGTGGTTCTTCTCTCTTCGTTTGATGAATGACGAATCCAAGTGCTACGATTGGAGCTTCCTGAAAGGCCCTGTGGTTGAACAACAGCACCGACATGTAAAAATCTCCAAGATTAAATGTTACATCATAGCTGAGATACGTCGGTAACTGCGCATGCGTTGGTTCTTCTACCAATCGAAGAAATTCAGCTCCTACTGATTATACATTTGTAGGCTGAACACAATGCTGAAATCCGGAAATAACTGAAAGCTCCAGTTGAAGGACTCAAGGGACATGAAATTTCATAGGCCGTGTACAGCTCGTCTTTGTGTATTTTGCTCTTGCTTTTGCAAACTTTGATTGTATTCCGACATTGCTCTGTATCTCTGGGATGAGTTATTGGAATATGTATGGATTCACATGGTTGTGCAATCATGTTCCTGTAGATGATGTGCGGTTTGTCCGTCTTTGAACGTTCCTCGATGTTTCTCAGCGTGGATGGGCATGTCCGCATGTGAGGCCTGTTAAGACTGGTTGTTCTGTTATTCTGAGGACTGTAAACCATGCCGGACTTATCGCCAAGGTACTAAACAATTACACGATATGACTTTGACTTTTCAACCAGCAGGCGATACGTGCATTTGGTCATGTTGGTGAACTTGCCATCATTTGTGGCGTAGTAACGCTTCACTACGCGTGGATCAGTCCTGGGTAGTTTGTGTACCCCTTTGCATTTCCATTTTATTCTGTCACACTTCCAGTCATCCCGGTTTTTTTGGTCGTTAACTTGAAACATATATCTTCAGATTTGGGATGAACTGGAGTGCAAGACAGGTTTCTGGCATTTTCACGGCTCTTCAGTAAACGTTAGGCTTCCCGAGCAGTCAGCAGATTTGTCTTGCGACCGTATGGGGTGCCATCATACCTGAAAATTCATAGACAACAGACAAAGTCCAGGACAGATTAACGAGGACCTTGTAATTTTAGACCCCATTCCCACTTGATCCACAAATTGGGGATCTGATCCACCTTTTGCCAAATTGCCGGATCAGATCCCCCAATTGGTGGATCAGATCCGGCAATTGTGTGTAGTGGGAACGCTTACCGTTATAAGATGGATCAGGATCAGATGGGAATGCAAAAGGTGGATCTGATCCGGCAATTTGACCTGTCAACATCCGCCCGGTGCACGAGTGGCGCGAAAATGTTGCAGTTTTATGAACGAAGAAACACGTTTCGGGCGTGTAGCTCATGTGACTATTTCCAACGTACACAACATGCACAATAAACAACCGCTGAACTACGGGCTAGCACCGCGCATGCACGATGCATGCATATCGCATGTATGCAGCGTGCGCACGTGGTACAGTATATCCTTAAACTACACTTGGCCTTTTACAATTTTCGTTGCGTATTCGTCCATTTTCTAAACCCTTTTCATTCGTGAAATTTTACTTATTTTTCCATCCATAAATGACTCTGAGTCCGCACTCACCAAAACACTTCACTTTGGCACAAAATCATAGAAAAGCTTACGAGTATGCGATGAGAATAGTGCCGATAACGCGTTACGGAGGTGACAAATCTGTAGTATTGATTATGGAAAATTTGAAAATGATGTCGTAGTACATCATATGACCATTTCTAACCAATGAGAAGCTTCAGAACCAGGGAATCCCTTATCGATGCATTGGTTTCTGCCATGATGTCACACAATGAGCGGCGCTGTTCGATTTCACCAGTTAATTTATGCACGCCGGATCCTCTAAGGATCTGTGATTTATGTCGGTGAATTCGCGTAATTTTTGTCGGTGAATTCTGATACTGATAACGCTGTTTGAAAACTGACCCGTCCTGGCCTAGCATGCAACACTGGCACTCCCACGGAGCGCGTAATTCCGAACTGAGTGACCTTTCGGACTCGACATTTCCGTACGAAAAGGTGGATCAAGCATAAGTGGGAACGCGACTTACGGTTTCGTTGTGGTAAGATAACGATCACACCAAAATGACGGATCTTGATCCACCTTTTCCCAATTCAAGTGGGAACGCGGTGTTAGATAGCAGGTAATTTAATTTAAATTTGTTTAGTGGTGATAAGTATTGTACTTCACAAACAATTAAACCATAATCAACCTGTACGGCATGAAGCCTTACAGGAAGTTACAGGCACGTTTTATCATCTTCTCAAGTGAAAATAACAATCTTATGGCGTTTTTTTTAATTTTTTTTTTTTAAGAAATTCGTTAAATCCACACCACAGTTTAAGTGTTGGAAATTTCCTAAAATTCAAAGGGATTTCATATTCTAGTAAGAAAAAACTCACCTCTGTTTACCTACATTTGCATATCAGCCCTCATGCACAAAAACAATCGCTGAAAAGAATAGCGCCCAAGCCTCACCCTCCGCGCCCACTACATGTTCCTTAAATAGCCCCGTTACACAAAGAATCCTAGTTGTTGTTTTTTTTGGTAAATTGGGCTGAGGGATGGTGAGTGTTTTCTAACAAGAATGGAAAATCCCTTTGGATTTTAGGAATTCCATAACAGAAAACATCTCGCCTCTGTTTACCTTCATTTGCAGAGTAGCACCGTAAGACTCTAGCTACGGAGGGAAGGGACATGTAGCAGCCATGGAAAAGTCTAAACTAGGCCTAGGCCTACATGCAATTCTAAATGGCATGAAAAGGTTGCTTAGACATACCCGGGTGCTGCCTATCTATTCTAAAGGAGCTTTGCGGGCTGCTGATTGTGCAGTTTCTGCTAATGCAACCCTCGCTTGCACAACAGCTAGTATAAGCAAGGTGTGACAGTGTAAGGGTTCTTCTAGCCTGACTGCATCTGGCCGTACAGCACTACCGAAAGCTTTGTAGTACGGCCAGACGCCCAATGCTCCCCTAAACGCTGAACTCTGATGTAGCGATTTTGCTACCAATTTTGATCGAGATTATCTTCTCATCCAGGACAGAAATTTCCAAAGTTAAGGTTCCTAGTCGTAAAGGAACTCATACCTCTTTGAAAAAAAACGTTCTTTTATCTAAAAACTTCATCCGTCTGACCAAAAAAACTACTTTCAATCATTATCTCCCACGAATATCGTCCCGAAAATGGTCCTCCATGCGATTTCAAAATGGCGGCCATGTTGTTAAATGTATGCATTATGCCGGCCAATGATAGTGCAATACGTCATTATGAATATTTATTTTCTCATGAATATTTAGTTTATTTCAATGGTACTTCAAATACGTCCAAAGATTGATCATTGCAACAGCGATCGTGTGCGGCCTAGCAGTTAAGAGACTCGTGTATCAAGCAAGGGTCCGAGGTTCGAATCTCGATGAAGTGAGTGACTGATTGATAAATAGAAATTAAGGAAAGGAGGGGGTGAGAGTAGGGGAGGGAAAGTGGAGGGAATAACCATAAAAGAGGTAACTTTGGGCGCTAGAAAATTAATTGAAAAAACTGGTGATCGGAAAGCCGAATTTTTCCCCGCGAACGGGCGCAGGAGGCGGTCCCCGCCGGGTCGATCCTTCTAGGACACCTCTATTTTGTATGAGTTCTGTTCAAAACTGACTTTTGCAGATGACTGTCCAGTACCAAAGTGACTTTTGCAGGCTAAAGAAGTCTTTTTTCTTCAGACAAACTCATGTTACTTGTTAGTTAGAATTTTGAAAGTACTTTCAAAGAAAATGTGACTTTCCTACACATGCTACAGTTTAACCTTATATAGGAAAGGGGTCCTAAAGGTAAGGATTACCGATCCTTCCCTAGCGCAGTGGACAGTCGAGCAGCTGGTTATTAAAGTTTGTCTGTTGCGTCTGTTCTGTATGGAGTGTGTCCCATCCCAACAAAAACATCAGATTTCACCCTCAAAATGGCCTACAAATTACTAGATACGCCACTTGGGGTACAAGTAGACATCGATGATTAAGATGGCCGGACTGACATTTACTTACGATCCGGATAAAAAGTAAAATTTCCCGTTCAATTCCAAGAGCTCCCCTCCCGATCGTGTGCTTTAGATCAGTGGTGGGCGGGCTGGTGGCGGCCACGGCACGTCAAGCGCCCTCATTCGTCAACTCGTGCAAGGGACTGAGCAGCACGGCAAACACATTGACTGATTGATATAGCGGTGAGTTTTGCTGGTTTTTTTCCTTCAAAATTGTCGCTGTTTGGGAACAATATAAGGGGTCTTATGGAATGTCATGAATGTGTAGATCTATCCAGGGTAGCTGTCTCTCTCTTTTGTATTATCTTTACCGGTTTTGGTGGTTGGAAAACTTTTGGTTATGGTGGGGGCGTGAACAATAGCAATTTAAGTGGCAAATACTTAGCATTAGTCATGTTAGTGCTGTTGTTCCCATTCTTGAAAACCACGCAATCTTAAGAATGCGCGCGCATTCTTAAGAATGAGCGCGCGTTCTTAAGAATGAGCGCTCATTCTTAAGATTGCGTGGGAATATCACGTGCACAATTTATGAATTTTGCGCAATCTTAACAAACATTGCATGACATAATTATGTTAAATGAAATGTATAGCGGTTAATAGGGAAACAATTCATATAAAGAGGAAAGAAAATGTTCTATGCTCCTGTACTCGTATAACTACGATAATTTGAATCAAATTAAACCTGTTATTATTGCTTTTTTCTGCCCACTATGGGAAGTTTTGTAATAACGGAGGACTGGGAACTAGTCTGGGAAGTGCTTTGTTTAGGCTAGACAAGTTACAAGTCCCTGTATGTATCATATGCATGCCACACAAAAAAAACGATGTCCAGAAGCTGCCAAAATTGCTCTTTTCTGCGGCTTAATGGTGGGGGTATAAACAATAAATTGGTGGCAATTTAAATGGGAAATAGCATTAGCACTATGGGATGTCACAGTATTCATTCTCATTCTTCACATTCTTCATTCTTATGTCCCCCCCCCCCCCCTCCTCGCTTTTATTATCCCAAAAATCAGAATTCTTTCCAATACACTATTATGTCTCAGATTATTTTTTTCCCCGGTCCCCCCCCCCCCCCATACACGTATACTTTTCATATCCACTCTACTTTTCAGCGCCTTGCGTTGCAACAGTATAATGGACCGATCCAGTAAGCATTGCCCTATGGTATTCTGACCAATCACAGCCGTGATTTATGTCCGACATGCGTGCACAAATGTCCGACATGCGTGTACGCGCGTATGATGCGCGCGGTAGGAACATGCAGTGTGGCATTGGACAGAAGCACGTGTTAATTTGCCCACGTGCTCAGTGGGAGGGGCTTACTGGATCGGTCCATTATTAAGAATCAGTGAACGAGGATGCAGCTAGACTTGCCAAGCGCAGCAGGTGCTCGGTATCGACAAGACCGTTATCTTGTTTTCTTAAGAATGTGCGCTCAATCTGGAAGAGTTATTTTTTGCTAAGATTGTGCAAGGATCCAGTTGCACAATCATAAGAATGTGCATGCGCATTCTTAAGAATGCGTGATTTTCAAGAAAGCGCACAACAGTGCTATGTTATGTCACATTCTCATTCTTCACATTCTTTTAATTCGCACACCGGCCCCCCCATTTGTTATCCAAAAAAAATCAGAATTCTTTCCACTACACTATTATTATGTCTCTTATTTTTTCCCAGTCCCCCGAATACGTGTATACTTTCATATCCACTCTACTTTTCATCGTTAAATCTTTTCCTAGGTTAAAGGGACCTTGCATTGCAATAGTGTAATTGTTAAGAATTGGTGAACGAGGATGCAGCTAGACTTGCCAAGCGCAGCCGGTGCTCGGCAGCGACAAGACCGTTATCTTGTCGCGCATTCTTTAGAATGTGCGCTCGATCTGAAAGAGGGTTTTTTTGCGAAGATTGCGCAAGGATCTTACGCAATCATAAGAATTTGCATGCACATTCTTATGATTGCGCAAATCACAAGAAATGCACAAAAGGACTACTGATGCTGATGCCCCCCTGAAGGCTTCAGTGGGAATTGAAAATACAAACTTGACAAATGGTGGTGGGTAGGCATGGTAGGTTTAAAATGGCTTCTACACAATCTGTGACATCTAATGAGTAGAAAACCATTGTCCAAACTAAGGTTAGCACGGTTTATAGGTTCACATACCAATTCGGGAAACATCCTTGTCACAAACGCCTTGTTGGAGGCTGCCATTTTGAATTCAGAAAAAATTGACTGGCAGCAGACAGACCAATCACAGGGCACTTTGATTGGTCACGATGTTACATTTACCCTCCTATACTTATAACTATCACAAACTTTGTCGTCCGACCATGACCAAACGTAAAAAAAAGAGGCATCTTGTAGAGTCCTAGTTACTCGGACTAAGTCCATAGAGTGTTTTGCTATCATGGATTCTTAAGCAATCTGCTTTTAATTCTTATGACCCTATTTTAGTTAATTATAAAGGTGTTTTATATTAGAAAATGTGTTCTTACCAATTTTACTGTTGATGCCATGCCTTGCCATTTAAAGGGAAGATACAACATTTGCAAACATCGAAAAACGAAAGGATCAAATTATATCGAGATATCTTACTGGATTGTTAGTGACTGACAATCTAAAGCATCCTGTAAAATCGTGGTTCCTGGTGTGCTAACACTTTCAAGAAAATTTGTATTTTTCCAACGCTGGTCGGCCGACCATCGTTGGAGAAAACTGGCTTTTTTCAAAAACTGCTCCTAATTGTTCATATTTAGTCATTCCACATTTTCTTTGCAATTGATGACACATCTGTGTAGGGGTACAAGCCTACTAGACTGACTCTCTTACCTTATAATCCCCAAAGTCTATATATTACAACGTCTCATCTTAAAGGGAATATACATCATTTGCTTTTGCTGTAATTTTCAGAAATGGATGGAATTGGGGGGTTGGAAATATATAGCAAATATAGTTACACTGACTTTTTTGAGGTTTTGGGTTCAAAAATGCTATAAAAACCAAGAAAAACAATCATTTTCCTGTAGTCTGGTTCCCTGACTCCATTTTAGAAGAAACAGAGCAGTTTACATACATTGGGAATTGTAAGGTCAGGGAACCAGTCTAGCTGGCTTGTACCTGTTATTATAGGTGTAATCGATTGCAAACAAGTGCGATGGTCAATTGGGGCCAGTATTTGAAAAAAAGCCAGTTTTTTTCCAACGCTGGTCGGCCGACCAGCATTGGAAATTGATACAAAACTACCACTTTTCTTGAAAATGACAGTATACCAGGTGCCATGATTTTACAGGATGCTTTATACTGTCATTCACTAACAGTCCAGCAAGGTATTTCAAAATGATTTGGTAGTTTTATTTTTTGATGTTTGCAAATGTTGTATTTTCCCTTTAAGTATTTAAAATTAAAATAAAAAACGGACTACAAAAACATGGTTGGTTTTCTTAGATTTTTAAGCATCTCCGAACCCAAAACGTGAAACAAGCTACTTTAACAATATTTTCTAAAGCACACTTATCCTCCAAATCCATTTATTTCTGAAAAATGCAGCAAAAACAAATGTTGTACATTCCCTTTTAACATATTTTTATGTAAAGAACAAACAATATTGACATTATCTGTGTCTCTTCCAATAGAAGTACCAGACAATTTGTGATACTGCACGCCAACTTCAGTTCTTAACTCTCCTTCACATATGTGAAAGAGTGAAGGTACTGGATGCATGATGGAGGGCATACCCAGCAAAATCACAGAATATGAGAAGTTTGTCAATGAAGTTTTGAGGCGTGATCTTCAGTAAGTGGCATTCACAATCCTTCATATATTTTTCACTGAGCGAAAACGGATTTGATTTTTATGTTTTAAATATGTACCAACAAAATCAGTGCTTAGCCAAAATGTTTCGAACTAATGATGAAATCTTTCAAAAAAATGATGTTTCATTTCTAAAGTTAAGTTACAGTCCATCATTTGCAGCTATCCAAAAAGTAACTGACGTAATTATATTGTTGAAAAACATACTTTGTTGAAAGATAGTAAGGGAACTAAACTCCCTCTGAAATTATTCTTTCTTGTATGCTGTCATTTTGGAGAAATACGAAAGAAGGCCTTTCCAACGATGCGTCTTAAGACACATCGTTGGAAATTTCCGTTAGTAGTTTGTTTTTTTATTCGGTGAAGCATGCGCAAGCGTTGACACAATGCACACACGTGCACGGTTGCTGTAATTCGTCGGATCAGTGCTCGACATCGCATAGCTGCAATCTGCTCAGTGAGAACATGTCTCAGACGCTGAATTCAGGCCCAATTCAAAACATGATTCAGCAACTTTTGATTTGAAATTGAGATCCTAGAATGCTGTTTTTCTTGAAATATACAGCTGAAGCTGAGCTGAAACTTCATCAGGTTAGTTGTTCAGCACCCTTCTTTAGATTTTGAGCACTTTTGTTGCTTCAAACGTACAAAATGCACAAATTACAAATGAAGGACTGTACCTTTCAAAGTAATTACTCTCCAATATCAGGAAAAAATACAAAGCAAGTTTCATGTTATTGTTGCCAGAGTCGATGGATTCATTATTTAGTAATTGATTGTGCTCTTGGAATGCGATGCTTCAACATGTCATACATACATGTATGTATGACAAATAAAAAAGACTTGATTCTGTCATAAAGCTCTTCTTTTGATTGGTTTTGGTTTTTCCCAGAAGAGTTTTAGAGGAGAGAGACAAAATTTACGAGCAAGCTGCCCACTACCTGCAGTTGAAGACCACCATAGACAAACTGCAGGTAAGTACATGTAATAAGTTCTTCATTAACCCTACATCTAACTCCCTAGGCATTTTTGCCAGGATGCAATCTCAATCCTACAAAATCTTCCAACTACCTCCTTGTAAAAATTCCATACAGCCTCATTCCCTTCAAAATCGTCCGTTATTTTTTTTAATGTGGTCCTTGGAGGGGTGCCTAAATCCTGCAAAATCCTCCTGCAACCACTGTTAATACATTGTAAGTTGAGGCAGAACCAGTGACATTCCGGAGAAGTGCAGAGGATTTCAGGTATAATATATTAGCCTAAATGAACGCACGGCTGAGCGTAAGCAACTCAAGGTCCGGGCCTATCTGGGCGCAGACATTTTGGATTTGTGTGCGTGTTCATAGAACACAATCAAAATACATGCAGATGGGTTGAATTTAAAAAGTGTACTCTAAATGCAAGGCGCGAGTACAAGATACGCAAACAACTTAAGCGCGTCATGACGGTTCAAAAAAACGTCACAGCGAAAAGCATCTGGACGCGCACACGTTGCGCTGTTTGCGTAGAGCAAAATGACACGCTCATTTGCTGATCGTGCGTTTAGGTTGTGGGCATATCAGCTTTGATTACGCACCGTTATGGAATACCAACGCAGATATGCAAATAGACGTACAGAATCCGTACACAATTTCTAGTTCTCCATAGGTCTGTGTACAAACATGGATGCGCCCAGCAGGCATATGTACATGAGTTAGCGCTCTAGTAATTTAATATAGCTCTTAAGTCTGGAATCACTCTTTTCCAGTCTCTTGCCCAACTTGCCCCCTTTTCTCTTCTGAAGGAAACCCAGTGATACTAGCCACAAAGTATCTTGTGCCAAGAGAGATCTTGATGGATGACCCCCCTCCCCTTTTGATCTCGCCCCCTTCTTTCCTTACTTTAGTCGCCCTTCCTTAGTTTGAATTTATAATTTTAACTCAGATCTGTTTTGAAGGGAATGTTCACCATCGTCCAAAGCTCCATACTAAAAACCAAATTCTTTACACTTTACATGTAGTTTTGTTTGTTTTTGAGAGATTCTCACTTAGGCCCAAGTATTTCTTTTGGTTCCATGTCTGGCAGCTTCAATCACTATATTTGCACATTTCAAGGTTAGACCAAAAAAAAAATAAGTCGGTCTCTGGTCAGCGCGTGCGTCGATTTTAATCATGCGCGTCGATCTTTTTTTTCCCAAAATGTTCTGCAGTAGCTCCAACAGCGCTCTCTATTTCCGCACCTGCTCAATTTTTTTTTACCAAAGAGCACCAAGGAATGGGAAATTGCACCAAGGCAAATTATCATAAACACCAAGGCAAATTATGGAGGACACCAATGTACACGAGGACACCAAAAAAGCAAAATAGTACCCCACCTTGTCTGTACAATCCAAGCTTGAAGAAGAAAAAAAAAAGCCAAAAAAAAAAAAAAAGGCCACGTGGCCGCGTCAATTCCGGAACTTTGGTCTGACCAGAGACCGAATATTTTTTTTTTTGGCCTTAGATTAAAAGGGCACATCTGGTCCAAAAGAAACTAACCTAATGTCTTACCGGTCCCGAAAAAAGATGAAAAAAACCTTTGTTGTTTACATCGGACACGACAGAGTATGTTTTTCCTGTCGTTTGGTCAATGTACCGATATGATGTACCGGTATACACGTTGTGTGTGTCTAAACAGCACTGTGCTCGCGAACAGCGGTGGCCAATCACCAATGCACAAAATGTGGTTTCTTAATTACACGTCTGCAAAAGGCGAACACTTTACAGATGAAATCACAACTAGCACCCAAACAGCTCAACTTTTGGGGGTCGTAAAAATCGACCTCAAAAGTCGTTCTCACACGCATAATACTAGCCATGGTCTATTACGCATGAACAAATTGGCTGATTAATTAGGCAAGACCCCGCCTCTTGACCTCCTAGATTTTGACCAGTCAGTGAGCGCTTTCTATCAGGTTTTTCGGTCATTCACCCATTGTGCATCATATAGACAATGAATTTTTAAAAATGTGTTAGGGGCTCTGTATCATGTTACGTGATATCGCGTCTGGCTGTTGTTGTATTACAAAACACTGCATTCGAATTGACCAATCAAACCATTTAGTCCTGATTTAGAAATTAAAAACATCACGATTTAGTAAAATAGACATCGATTGGCTGGCGCGCAGCTTGCATATATCTGCACGTCAGGAAATACCAGACGTTATACAGGAGATTGGCTCCGTGTGGATAACGGATGATACTCAGACTAGCATAATACAGGGATGACACAAAAACGCCCAGTTTTTAAAGGATAGTTGTGTGGATGTTTATATCCTACTTTTAAATGTTCTTTCTGGTTAACATCATTTTGTTCAAAGTGCGTTTTGCAATTGGGCTGATCTAGGACGCAGCGTCTCTTTTAAAACAGTTTTCTGTTCAATAAGGCCACAAAAAAAAGTCTCTGGTTTCTGGTATGGATCTTGCCCAAAAAGTGGTGTGGCGACGCGTTTTTTTTTTTTTTTTTTACCTGATTTTTTTGCTTTAAATCATTGAAATGTCGGCTGATGACTGCAAATGGTACCCGACTAAACTTTGTGCAAATAGATGGGAGACCAGAGAGGCCACATAAAGCTTATTCTCGACCATAATCCAATCTAACAACACGTTAAAATTGTGCAGCAGCAGGATTCCAGTCAAACCAGTGAGTTTGGCGGTTTTGAGACATCATCTTTCATTGAAAAAAAAAATTTTTCATTTTGCTGACGCACATGGCTATGGCGAAGCGCGCGCATACCAGAAACCGGAGACTTTTTTTTTTTGGCCCAACAAACTCTCCCTGGAGCATCCTGCCATCCCATGACACCCCCTCCCCCCCCCCCCCCATACCCCAATCTCCCCCCTCCTCTCCTCAATCCTCCCCCTCCCCCAATCTCCCCAATCCCCCCCCCCCATCCCCCACCCATCACCCCCCTTCCAATCCTCTCCAACCCCCAATGTTGACTTAACCCTAACCATCCCAAATCCTCCAAAATCCTTTTTTGCAAATTAGAGGAATTTGCAGGATTGAGGTTACATGGCAAAAGTGGGTTGCTGATTTCGGAGGACCTTGTGTCGTTTATGTTCAGCCTATTGAAATCCTCCGTACTGCTCCAGGATGTCACTGCCTCTGCCTCAGCATATTGACAGTCATAGCCGGAGGATTTTGCAGGATTTAGGCAGTCGTCACCTCTCCACGGGCCATATTCAAAAAAGAATGGAGGATTTTGCAGGATTGAGGCTACATCCTAGCAAAAAGGCCTAGGGAGTTAGGGTTAATTAAGCTACTATACTCAAAATAAGAAGATTGTGTTCTAAAGAAACACAAGTTAAGACATGTAAGAAGTAAAATACATTCTCCGCAATCCGTGTGGATTCCAAGCATGCATGCTACAAATGTACATGTATGTAAAGATTCGGACAGTTGTGTTCTTTTCAATCCTGTTGCAAGATTGTTGGCACATTGGGAAGAAAGAGTTTGTTTGTAATTTTTAGATAAAATGCCAAATACTTTTTTTTTTTTTGTGTTTTGTTCTCCATTTTGATTAGAATGGGAAAACGTCTTCAATAATTTAAGACATATCCCTTTGAAATGAGAAACTAATATTGGCTGTACTTCAGCTTCTACGCAATAAAGGTCGCATCCTACAGGCACTTCATACGGACGTAACTCTCAACGAAATAACAGCTTCTCGGGAAATCTATTTTGCTTTTGCATTAACTTGAAGGGTAGACTGGCCTTTAAGGCAGGAAGCCAATTTAACAGTATCATTCACAACATGACTCACAAAATGAATTTCAAAATGAATTTGGACTGCCAAACACATGATGCTGGTACTTTGTGAGTGTTTTTACCATTTCAATTTAAATGAAAAGTCATCTGATATAAAACACACAGACATTTTTTAAATGGGAAAAACATATTGGCCGTGCTTCACCTTGTAGCACAATAAAGGTGACATCCTACGTAAGGCCAAAAAAAAAAAATATTCGGTCTCTGGTCAGACCAAAGTTCCGGAATTGACGCGGCCACGCGGCTTTTTTTTTTTTTTTCTTCAAGCTTGGATTGTACAGACAAGGTGGGGTACTATTTTGCTTTTTTGGTGTCCTCATGTACATTGGTGTCCTCCATAATTTGCCTTGGTGCTTTCAATCATTTGCCTTGGTGCAATTTCCCATTCCTTGGTGCTCTTTGGTAAAAAAAATTGAGGAGGTGTGGAAATAGAGGGCGCTGTTGGAGCTACCGCGGAACATTTTGGAAAAATAAAAGATCGACGCGCATGATTAAAATCGACGCGCCCGCTGGCCAAAGACCGACTTATTTTTTTTTTTGGCCTAAGTGCAACTGACAACAAAATTACAGGTTCTTGAGAAATCTACTTTTCTTTTGCATTAACTTGAAGAGTAGTCTGGCGTTACAGGTAATATACTCATTTTCTTTTGCTGTAATTTTCAGAAATGGATGGATTTGGGGGTTAGTATTTTAAAGCGAATATTGTTAGACCGACCTGTTTAAAGTTTTGTGTTCGTAGATGCTCGAAAAACCAAGAAAACAAATATTGTTCTTGTAGGCTGGTTCCCTGACTCCACTTCAGACGAAACAGCAATATATACATGTAGACGTCAGGAAATTGTCAGGCAACCAAACTAGCTGGCTTGTACCTGTTCACGGATGTGTAACTGATTGCAAACAAAAATTGACTAACTGAATTTGGTAAATTTGGGGCAGCATTTGAAAAAAATTCAATTTTTTTTTTCAATGATGGTCGGCTGACCATCGTTGGAAATTGATTTTAAAAAAATTCAACTTTTCTTGAAAATGACAGCACACGAGGTACCATGATTTTTAGGATGCTTGAGACTATTGTTCACGTGCAGTCAAGTAAGGTACTTGTATTCCATACTGATTTGGTAGGTTTTTTTTGGTTTTGTCTTTTAAGTTTGCATATGTTATGGCCAATTCCGGCATAACAGAGGGGACGGCATCAGACTTCATAGTCAACCAAATTTAAAATCCTTGAAGCATAACTGTAACAGAGGGGAACTCAAATTTCCATCACAAAATAGAGGAAAACACTACTTCAGACTCTCGAAACTTCAAGCCTTGATAAAAATAAATCCAAGTGCAGTTGAAGAAAAGTAAAAATGTTTCTGAAAGCTTGGTTTGTTTATTTTCCAAGAAAAAATATTTACAGGTGGAAAATGTACTTTGAATATTCATGAGTTCGCAACTCTTTTCCGGAATTAACCCTGTTTGTTACCTGTAAAGGGAATATACAACATTTGCTTTTGCCTTAAGTTTCAAAAATGGATGGTTTTGGGGTTTAGTATTTTATAGCAAATATTGTTTCACTGACTTTTTTGGAGTTTTGTATTCGTAGATGCTGGAAAAATCAAGAAAACAATCATATTCCTGTAAGTCTGGCTCACTGACCCCACCTAAAACGAAACAGAGCAATTTTAAGACGTTGTGGAATTATAAGGTCAGGGAACCAGTCTAGTTGGCTTGCACCCGTTCACGGACATGTATCCAATTGCAAACTAAATGTAGACTGAATAAATTTGGTAAATTGGGGGCAGTAGTTGAAAAAGTCAGTTTTTTCCAACGTTGGACGGCCGACCAAGGTTGGAAATTAATGTAAAACAGCACTTTTTTTGAAAATGACAGCACACCAGGTGTGATGATTCTAAGGAATGGTTTAGACTGCATTCACTAACAGTCCAGTAAGATATTTCATAATAATTTGGTAGTTTTGTTTTGTGATGTTTGCAAATGATGTATATTCCCTTTAAGGCAAGTGTGATTGAGTTCAAAAATAGCCACAATAAAATGGAGTTTGCCATGTGCATTTTGTATTGGTTTTGCAGGAAGCCAATTTAGCAAAGGATGGCCTCAAGACTAAGGTGGATCTCGGGTGTAACTTCTATGTACAAGCAAATATGTAAGTATGGGGTGAAAATAATCTAATTTTTAGAGATTTAAGTGCCTTCCATACTACATGTATGTGTACTTTGTGTAATTGTATATCAAACTAAGATGCAAGGAATGTTTTAAATGCTATAAGAAAAAGCTCTGCAGCTCTGCAAAAGCAGTAAATATGTATTTTGCACCAACTGCAAGGACTCTGTGCACAACATTAGATGACACTTTTTTTGGTACTTTCGAAAGCTCAGGGGGGGGGGTGAGAACACTATGTGCACGTACTGGTTTGCGTGCGTATGGCGCAAATTACATACAACATACTTTATGCTGATTGTGCACAACCTCAAAATGTCTTCATGTGAGCGCAGTGGGGGGGGAGGGAAGGAAATATGGGGGGGGGGGCAGTCAAAACAAATCTTAAACATGTGTACGGGCACATGTGCCCATTATCAATGGTCCGGAAATAAGCCACTAGCTAGAGCAACTTTGGTGTATAACAAATGTTTAACCCTAGCTGCTACAATAATAATAATTGGCATTTAAGAACGCTCTTTTTAGTACACTAAATCACAGCGCTTACAGTATTATTATTACCCCTGATCATTGGGCCAATTTAACATTCCATATACCATCTCAGCTCCCTGGGGAGTATACAGCTCGATGCTGCCTGTTAGGCGCAAGCAAGCTAAATCAATCACATAACCATCTCTGCCCTCACAGGTACCCATTTACTCCTGGGTGGAGAGAAGCAATGAGTGACAAAGCGCCATGCCCAAGGGCGCACGCACCATGACCCCGCCAGGACTCGAACCCACAACCCGCAGCTTTACCCGCAGACCATGAATCAGTGCCCTTAACCACGAGGCCACAGCTGTAGCCTCAATCCTGCAAAATCCTCCAATGGCCTCATGGAAAAAAATATCAAAAAGCCTCAATCCTGCAAATTCCTCCATTAATCTTGAATATGGTCCATGGAGGGGATGGAGGGGTTACCACTGCCTGAATCCTGCAAAATCCTGCGGCAGTGAATGTCAATATGTTGAGGCTTAGCCAACGACATCCTGGAGCAGAACAGAGGATTCAAGCATATATAATCCATGCCTATTTTTATGCATGGCTGAGCAAAAACAACACAAGGTCCGGCCCAAGACCTTGACAAAGTGTATCCTACAAAATCAGAAATGCACTTTTGCCATGTAACGTCAATCCTCCAAATTTCCTCCACTTTAGGGTTAACGAATGCACAAAAACGTTGGCTGCACACTAACCACGGCTGTATAAATGCGTGTGTGGCGTGTGTTGCCTAAATTACAGATGTTTATAAAAAAAAAATCTTTTCATTAGGCACATTTTATGAATCTTAACAGCGAAGAAAATATACATAATGAGTCTATTTGTTGATAAAGTGCTGGGAGAATACTTTTGGGGTGGGGGGCAAACTGGCTGGCAAGGGGAAAAAAATGGGGGGGGGGAGCAACCCATAGGTCTCGATTGAGGGGGGAGGGTGCTGTTCGTGATAATAGGTATTGTACAAAGTTGCGTAAATAAATGTTTCATGGAACTTACTCATGGGTGCACCTCTGTACAAGGTGTTCAAAAGTTTCTTTTTTGAAGGGCAAGTTTTGGAGATACCTATGAAAGAATAACAAATTCAATTCTGAGTGACATATCAATTGTAACTACTATTAACAACAGGACACCGAAATGATTCCATTATACAGGTACAATACTCTGTCAACTGACTGAAGAAACTCTCATGTTCTTTCCACAGACCTGATGCAACAAGGATCTATATTCTCGTTGGTTTCGGATTCTTCGTAGAATTTACACTACCAGAGGCACTGAAGTTCATTGATAAAAAGTGCAAACACTTGACAAGGTATGGTTGAGCGACTTTCCAAATTCGAAATGTCAACAATATACTACGCTGCATAGGAGTCCTGTTTATTACGTCACGATTTACTATGTTTTGTTTACTGCCCCCAACGATGACTTTTACACAAATTGCACGTTCGGGTCGAAACAGGACCTGAAAAACAGCTCTCTAAAGTATCTTTTGTACTCATTTCATGACAGACACAATAGTCGTTTTTATTTCATCACACTTTAGGCTACATATACCAGAAAAATGACGGAAATGTCTTCGAGCATTCCTCAACCTCTTATAATCTATATCACTGCAGCTACATGGTCTGCTCATACATTGTACATGCCAAGAAGTGTTAATATGTAGATCAGTGATGAAAGACAATGATTAAACTTCAAGGTTACTGTTTCCCCCCCCCCCCCAGCTAAAATTGGGGCTGAAAATCATCCTACTAGTTTACTAGAGATTGAACCGGATTAGTGCTGTATTTATTTATACAGCTTTACATTGCTTTATTTTCATGTCTTTTTTTTTTTTTTTAGTTTGAGTGATAAGCTGACGAAGGATTCTGCAGAGATCAAGGCAAACATCAAACTTGTTTATGAGGTAGGCCACGTGAGAATATACATGTAAATGTAACAATTTCATGTAACCCCACAGCCGTCAATTGCCAATCACAGTAAACTAACCTGCTTAAGGACATCAGCTGTGCATGCAAGAGTCTCTATTCACAATTCAACGCCCCAGTCAAGCATTAGGACCATCTCATCACAGAAGAACCATACCAAGTTATATTCACAATGAACTGCATTCAAATATTGTGGATTTTGAAATATTTCTGAATTCTCCTATCACTGTTCACTGTGTTTAAAGGTACGGTCCATCATTTGTAATTTGTGCATGTTGTTCATTTAAAGCGACAAACATGCTCAAAATCTAACGAATGGTGCTGAACAAATTACTTGATGAAGTTTCAGCTCAGCTTCAGCTGTATATTTCGAGAAAAACAGCATTCTAGGATCCTGATTTCAAATCAAAAGTTGCTGAATCATGTTTTGAATTGGATCTGAATTCAGCATCCGAGACATGTTCTCACTGAGCCGATTGCAGCTATGCGATGTCGCGCACCAATCCGACGAATGAAAGCAACCACGCGCTTGTGCGTCGTGCCACACTTGCGCGCGCTTTGCCAAATAAAAAAAAAAAACTACTAACAGAAAGTTCCAACGGTACATCTTTATACGCATTGTTGGAAAGGCCTTCTTTGGTTGATTTCTTCAAAATGACAACTCCGGTTCTTTTCAGAGCCACACATACTCACAAAAGAGATTTATTCACATGGTGCTACCGCAAACTTATCTTGTCTTAAAACGACAACTTGCCAGAAAGAATAATTTCACAGGAAGTTTAGTCCCCTTACTGTCTTTCAACCAAGTATGTGTTTCAACAATAATTACGTCGGTTACTTTTTGGATAGCAGCAAATGATGGACTTCATTTAGATACATACCAGTTGCCATTGATTTACTTCATGCTTTTTCTTCAGGGCTTGAGAGAATTACAGCATCTTGAGAATGATGTAGCAGACGACAGGAATCGTTTGGTGTGGTGATGAACAGTCCATTGCACTGTGTGATGTTCCCCTATATGCACTCTGTGCAAAAGTACCGTCTCAACGGAGGTTACATGACAGACACTCGCATGTAAATGCAATTGCTGCTATGCTCTCAGTACCTGTGCAAAGATACAACAGGTTTCTGTACATTCCAATGAAAAGTAGTCGAGGGTACTTTAATTCTGTGCTCGTTGAACCACAGTGATCTCATAAACCAAAAGTATGGAAGCATTGATAGCAAGTGTTGAATTTTAGTAGGGCGGAAATACTTGAGCAGTGTGGAATGAAACAACTCATAGTTTGTCCAGATCCATCTATGTTCAGGTACCTTTTGACTGCGACATAAGAGAGCCGGCGCGGGTTGGCAGAGCTCGGCTTGGAGAACCCGGAGCCCTCTCACTAGAGCTCTAGTGAGTGGTCACACAGTACCGTTCCAATGTGCCTTCACAGACATGACACAGTCCGTATGAAAGCAGAATAGTGTGCATAATATTGAATTTGGGCAGACAGACCTGGCGCAGGAATTTGGAGCCAGTGTTCCTTACACGGTTTTTAACAGTCAAACTCTATGCAGTTTGTGGCCAAGAGCCAATGAAGCCAGACTGATGAATGAAGTTGGCCAACTATTTGCTGGATAGATCATTTGATTCAGTCTTCTGCCCAGCATCTTGGACTGTTACACCAATTGACCCAATCTTTCAGGTTGTGGTTTGGCTTTCACAATACAAGAAACTGTTTCCTTTAAGTTATAATTGGCAACAGCGAAATGTCATTGCTGGTATCATCCATACAGTTTTGTTAATGTTTGAGTTTGAAGAAGGGATGTGTTAGTGCATTTTCAGGTTTGGCTCTTAATTTCTTTACATTTATCAAATATATACACAGATCAAATATTGCAACTTAGTGAATTCAAGTTAGAAAAAAAAAGCGACAAGAAGAAACAGTTTGTCATGGTTCATTGGTTACGATGTTTGACTCATGGACAATGGTACGTAGGGGTGAACCCTGCCTGGAACATGGTGTTTGTGCCCTTAGGCAAGACACTTCACTACAATTGCCTCTCTCCACCCAGGAGTATGAATGGGTACCTGTGAGGGTTGGGACCCGAATGTGTGCTGATATCAGCTGCTGCATGGTCTCATGGCCTGATGAACGGGGAAATAATTGTAAAACGCTTTGAGATTGTTGAAATGGTGGAAAGTGCTATACAAGCATTATCAGACATGTAATTCTATTTTAAGCGCTGTTACAATATGTTTTAGGTTTTTTCCGTCTTGAAATGTGGCAACCAGTCACAAATATTGGTTCAAGTTTGGTATGAACTTAAAACTTTCACTTTTTTTGAGAAGGGGGGGGGGTGTAATTCGAAAATAGCACAGGGAGGTAGAGTAATGGCTGGGAAAATGGAGTCTCTCTTTCAGACACACATACCCTAATGTGCTTAGCTATGCATGGTAGGTGCAGACGGCTTTAGGTGAAATTGGCTCTGGCAATGAGACATGGAAGATGGCCGGGTCTTTTTTCCCATAGCTTATTTAATTTCTAATTCTTGTTGAAACTGCATGCAGACAAAGTGCATGCCAGAATAGAATTATGGAAATTCACGACGCATCTCTTGGTCACAGTTTCCATTGAATCAAATAATTGTTTGCAATGTTTTATCCAAACATGCATTAACTTTAAAGGGAAGATACAACATTTGTAAACATCACAAAACGAAATGATCAAATTATCACGAAATACCTTACTGTAATGTTAGGGAATGACAGTCTAAAGCATCCTGTAAAATCGTGGCTCCTGCTGTGCTGTCATTTTCAAGGAAAATGGGATTTTCCCAACGCTGGTCGGCCGACCAGCGTTGGAGAAAACTGGCTTTTTTTTCAAAAAGTGCTCATAATTAGTTATTCCGTTTTCTTTGCAATTGATTACACACCTGTGAAGGGCTACGAGCCTGCTAGACTGATTCTCTGACCTTACAATCTCCCAAAGTCTATAATTTGCTCCGTTTCATCTTAATTGGGGTCAGGGAACCAGACCACAAGAACACAATTGGTTTTCATGGTTTTTCCAGCATCTACGAGCCCAAAACGTGAAACAAGTCATTTTAACAATATTTGCTATAACATAACAATCCTCCAAATCCATTTATTTCTGAAAATTGCAGCAAAAGCAAATGTTGTACATTCCCTTTAACTCCCAAGGCATCTTTGCTAGGATGCAACCTCGATCCTGCAAAATCCTCCAACTGCCTCCATGTAAAAATCGCATAGAGCCACAATCATCCAAAATCATTTGTTATTTCTTCAAGTTGAATGTGGTCCTTGGAGGGGTGACCACTGCCTCAATCCTGCAAAATCCCCACCAATTACTGTCAATATGTTGAGGCAGAGCAATTGACATTCTGGAGCAGTGTGGAAGAGTTAAAGTACAGTGTATAATCTAGGCCTAAATTTATGCATGGCTGATGAGCATATAAACAACACAAGGTCCGGCCTTAATATACCTTGACACAGTGCATCCGCCAAAATCAGCCACACTTGCCATTTAGCCTCAATCATGCAAAACCCTCCATTTTGCAAAGAGGATTTTGGAAGATTTGGGAAGATTAGGGCTAACATTATGTGTGAGAACATTGGAAATGAAAGTGGCGGAACGTCACGTGCATTAAAAAGTCAACGCTTAAGCAGAATTTCTGGAGATTTTAATAAGGTCTGGAAAACTGTATCATTGTTTATCGAGAAACAAAATATTAAAAATGTCAGTTTATGTGAATTTGGTCTGGTTTGTAATATGTTATTTCATATGTTTGTCTGCAAAAGGCATGTACTATTCATGGTAGAAATAATGAGGCTGTATTAATATGTGAAGGATGAATATAATTGCTATTGACAATTGTTCATGTTCCATCTGTGTTGTGTGCTTTTTTTCATTTCTTAATCAGTTAGCCTATGTCATAATCTTTACCATATTTATGGAAAAGAAGTGGCATGCTTATAAAATCTCGAAGGAAATGAACCCAGAAGTTGCCCTTTTTCGCAATGGGATGGAGGTGCATGTATTTTTTTTTAATTGGCGATGGGCTTCATCGCGACTAATTTACAGGTGATGACTTGGCAGAGACAAAGTACCCAAACGTCGTCATCGGATAATTCCCTAAATTGAAAGGGCACATGATTACAGGGTGCTTATCTTCACTTTGAGCATGGATCTTCTCAAATCTGAAGAAGTCGAAACCAAGTAATAAAATCGGGTGGTTATTTTAATTTCAGCCTTAGCTTTAGAGACTTTACAAACAATGTAATATCCAAACAAGGGTGCAAAGAAATTTTGAACCAACGGGAAGGGACGCAGTTTAAAGAAAGTGAAATATTTGTAGACTTTCACGACGAAAACTGTATAGAAGCAATGGGCATCTGTTTCGAACAATACCGTCCAATTACCTAGCCCAAGTTGGCAAACTAGAATTTACCACAATCTCGACTAGGAAACCTGCTTGCACGGTTCGTTTGTCATCGCTGACGACAAACAAGCACGCATTATCCTTGGTAAGTTAACAGGCACCTGGTCTCTTCTCCTTTTTTATTTTATTTTTACAAAATGTTGTTGGCAGTTACAACATATCTAATTAAGAGGTTACAGTGTATCTAATTAAGAGGAAACGCTTTTGCCATTGACATGGGATTTAATTCTTTGGCCAATTTTGATTGTGACGTACTTTTGCACATGTGGCCCCCGGCGTGTCCACAGATTAAATCCGCCTACAATCTCGTTAGGCCGGCTGTTACAAGGACGAGTGTGATGAACGTGCTAACTGCATCGGAGGGATGACGGGGAGCTGAAACCCCCCGCCCCCTTTCGCTTGATTATTTGCGCTCCCCTTTGTCTGCAGAAATTGTGATTCCTGATATGATAAATCAATGTCTTGTTACGCTACGTTGAAAAATCAGCCCCTTCCGTTCTGATTTTCTTTATATACCATTTTGTGATACTTTAAACAAGTCTTTTGTTTAATTTATCGATTTTTCTATGTACATTAACGTGAAATGCTTGAACAACAATGCGCAAAACTATTATCACTCCACTTTTTATTTAACAAAATTACAAAGGATAATTCAAGTGCATAGCGGTCTAATCCTAGTCAGTTATGGACTATATATCCGCTTGCATAGCAAGCATCCATGATATGCGCGCAGTTTCGGTCTTCGGTAACCTATTGTTTTGCAAAAACATGGCAATCAAATTGACCAATCAACAGCTCAGTCCATATTTCTGCTCGAAATGACGTCACAATTTCTAAATTTGACTCCCGTGATTGGCTGGTGCACGGGGTCGCATACAATTTGCATGCTCACACAATTATTTCAGAGGTTGTTACGGAGCGGACTCCGTTGAACAACGGATGATACTCAGACTGGCCTAATCCCTGCGTTCAAACTAATGGCAACAAACTAATGACATTTTTTTTTAGTACTACACTCAACCAAAGAAAGTCCCCTTCCAATACTTTTGTGTCTAAAACTCAAAAACTACTGAGCACCTCTCACTCAAATAACGACTGTACATAAATTCCTTATAGCAATCCGGCCATACTCTTTATTTGGCCCCAAACAGTGATGTGCACGAATTCGGCAATTTATGACAAATAATACCGAAAAGGCTGCACTTTTGTATACGTGCACGTTGTGGTTCACACTCACCTTGTACGTATTCAATAGTGCAACTTTTGTTTGGTACCATTTGTCATAAATTTTTATAATTTTGTACACATTATCACTGTTTTAGGCCAAACAAAGAGTATGGCTGGATTGCTAAGGAATTTCTGTACCGATCAGTCGTAATTTGAGCAAGATGTGCCAAGCAGTTTTTGAGTAAGACAAAAAAAGCATTAAGGGGGGACTTTCTGTTTTGGTCGAGTGTATAAAGCTGCAGGTAATAACTTAGGAACAGAAAATGTTTAGGCCTACCCATATCATTTTGGGTGCCTTTCGAGATCAGAAAAGTCCACAACATTTTATAAAGGAAATGAACGCGCCAGCATCTCACAACTGGTGCTAGTTTTACATGTATAACGTAATCCCCCCCCCCCCTTCTTAATAATGTGCAGAAAAAAAACAGGTTCACTTGAAATGTCCCTCCAATTGGCAAAGAGGTCATGGCACGCAACACGAGTAGTTTTTACGGGACGGCATAAAAAGATCCGGCCCTCTTGTGAAAGAGAACGAACACGGGGTAAAAATATGGACAGATGAGCAGTGTACAAATTTGGCATTTGATGATGATGCCTGTTTCGCACTTAAATTAAATCTTAATCAATGAACAAAGGACGCTAAGCCTCAGCCACAGGGGGAAAAAACCCATTACCTGCAATATAGCACAGAAATATACAACAGCTCAGTAAAGGAAATTGCGACTGTACACATACGTGCAATGTACTATGTACATGGTAACTGTACTGCACACTGACCGTGCAGCAGGTATCACAAACATGTGAGAGAATTTTAACATTAATCAACAAACTTCACTTTCTGTCATAATTTGTGCAAATAACATCAAAAGATTCTCACTGGGGATTTTTTTGGGGGAGTGCACTATCCCTCAGTGCACATGGCAGTTATGGCAAAGCCATGCTGACGCACACTAAAAAGTGACAACTCTGACAGAAATACATTGGTGTGCTCAGTCGAAGGACGTCTTTCAAAAAAGACCGAGAAAGTATACAATTTCCAAGTGCAAGTGCTGCCGAGTCACTCGATTGACTATTAACGCTATGGCAAACTCCATAAAATCATCCAGACAATGAACCTTCAACTAATCAGTAATAGCCTAAGCTTGCAATTACATGTATACACTATTAAGATGGACATGGACAAGCATAAAATTATACAATAATCCCGAATTAATTGCTTTGGACAGACCTAAGATTTAACTATTCATGATGACGAAGACAAGCGTTAACTATGTCCTTGCGCGTAATGTATTACATAGAATATGTAAATCACCCAGATACAATGCAAATGAAGAAACGTCGCTTCTACATTAGGCCTATGTATACATGAATAAAAGTTTTATACATGTATTAGGAAAGAACGAATGAGGTTGCTCCTGCTCAGGCATGGTTCCATACAACTATGAACACATTCACCACTTTAGGAGGCGGTGCCAATGACTAGTGACTGATTCTTCATATTCAACATCACAATTGGATGCGATTCCCTTAAGGCAGAACTGCGGATCGGAGTGGGCGGTTTCCGTGACTCGCTGCGTATTTATTAAGGCACAGCATCCATAGACAGCCTCACACAACAAGCGAGGTGCTGTACGTGTCTTTGCGTCCGTGAGAGTTCGTGTTGCAAATAACTTCGTCAGTGAATTCGCCACGAATAGCGGCTTGGGTCAACGACGTCATACTTAGCGAATTCAGCAAAACTAGTGAGTGTTTCTTGAGTCGGTTTTCCCAGTTATTTTCACACTTATATCACACACATTCCCCAGAACGTGCTTTAATGTCGTTCCAGAACATCGTTGAGCTCAATTCTCAATATAAATTTCTAGAACAGCCAGATAGTCTAATATTTTTGTTCGCATGTGAAGGCATCTATGATACGGTTTCAGTCCGCGTCTGATACCTTTATGTATCGGCCTCTCTGAGCTCCAGCATTGTCCGCCATCTTTTCCACAATCAAGTCTCAGAAACGAGTGACAAGAAAACCCAGAAATACCCAGAAATTGT